CAACATGACTGGATTTCCTAGATGATAAATCCTGCAGATTTCAATTGAACTGTTTTTCAGTGGATCCAGCCATGATCTGTAAGAATCATTTTACTTTAAAAAAGCATTTGATCTAGCTTAAGTAGTGAGGACATTCATAGTAGCTAAGCTTGTTGAAACCCAAGGAACTTGTTTTTGTATAAATACATTTTACACTGGACCGGAGTATAAGTAAGTTATATCCCAGCCTAAGCAAATGAAGAAACATTCAAGATCTCCCAAACTGCTGATCCACCAGAGTGCTACTGGGGCTGACAGACTGCAGACATGTCACTTTTCTGTTGTCAATTTGCTGCTTACATACCACCTCTTGATTCACATGAAAACACTAGTATAACTAGGTTATTCCTTTTGTCCATGGAGGGGAAAATCTTTGGCTTTCAAGCATAACGCATCCAAGAGAGTGCATCTACAACTGTAGAATTAATGAAGTTTGACACTAATGACTTCATCAGATGGCGTTTTTTCTCAGTGGCATACGTCAGCTCAGCAGTAGTTTAACCACGGAGTCCACCAGCTCCCACCCCACAATGTAATACTACTTCTGGCAAGGTTCTGTGGCTAAACTAACACAGGACCAGCATACGCCACCATGGCAGAAACACAGGAGGCATCCCATGTTGCACCAGCAACAAAAGGCAGAAGCCAGGCAGTTGACACTTTCCCCGTGGGATGGGGTCATTGGTGAGTCAAGTGATGTGAGGTGTGGGACAACAGAGTCTCCATGCCCCCCACAGGCACCGCTGGATTTGCAGCAATCTGGGGTGATTCCAGCTGCCTGTATAATAAGGCCGTTAGTTGCCATTGCTCAATGCTATGGAATCTGGGGATTCATACCATCCCTTGTAAGCCGCTCGAGTCCCTTTGGGGAGATGGTGGGTATAAGAATAAAGTTGTTGTTGTTGTTGTTGTTGTTGTTATTATTATTATTATTATTATTTCTTATTATTATTATTATTGGGTTGTTGTAGGTTTTTTCGGGCTATATGGAAATGGTCTAGAGGCATTCTCTCCTGATGTTTCGCCTGCATCTATGGCAAGCATCCTACCTCTGAGGATGCTTGCCATAGATGCAGGCGAAACCTCAGGAGAGAATGCTTCTAGACCATGGCCATATAGCCCGAAAAAACCTACAACAACCCAGTGATTCCGGCCATGAAAGCCTTCGACATTATTATTATTATTATTATTATTATTATTATTATTATTATTATTATTATTATTATGAAGGCTAAAGATGCTGTATAACTTCCACAATTCTATAGCATTGAGCCAGGGCAGCTAAAGTTCAAACAGTGTAAATAACATCCAGACAGCACATTTTAATATGATCTGTCATCTTTCCTAATGTTTTTGCAGAGCTCCCTGGGCTGTACAGTCCCTTCCCACTGTTCAGCTGCTTTCTTTTTCTTGTAGAAAATGTGGTAATATATAAATCCCCTCTTCCATACCACCCAGCTCTTCCATACCCCTCTTCCATACCACCTTACTAACTGTATCTCACCCTTCTGTTCTTTTCTCTTCTGACTATGGGGAACAGTTCCACCTGGCTTTCTGTAATACAGTATATTTACACTACTCACTACTACAAGCTAGTGGTGAATTGGAGAATTAAAGGCATTTTGTCAGAAGAATATAAAATGTTTGCACAGGCACAATGCCACACCTACATATAAATCTCAGAACTTAGCTTCACAGACATACATACAAAGTAACACAGAAATACACATTTCCTATGATACATTTGACCCAAGGTGCCATTGACATTCAAATGGAATGAAAGTGCTTTCTAGTAGTTGTGCCATTTTTTGCAGGTTCAATTTTCACTGCAATGAAATGGAAGGAATCCCGATAAGCCTGTCATGAAACTGCGACAGGGAAAATAAATGTTCCAACAGCTGTGTGTTAGCTACCTGTTAACATAAAAAGAACCTGGCATTTCCAGATCCCCCAATCCTAAAAAAAAACAAAAACAAAACATGCATGCATATGCAGCAAGAAGTGTAAACCACTTCATCCAGTTCAGCTCATGGAATATTACAATGGTCTCTCCAGCGGGCAAAGTAACAGCTGTTATACACTCCCTTGCACATGGAATTTTTTTAATGCATTTCCTGTCTTTGCTTCACTGTCTTTGATTTTTGTTTCCATAATTCATATTGTCCTTATCACTTTCCACTTGTTGGAAGGGAAAGAAAAGGAAACAAAAGGAGAAAACTAAACAAAAACAGGAATGCTTAGGGAGAAGCAAATTGTTACTCTTTGTTGACACAATACTGGCATCAGACTCGCCAACTGCCACGTTATCAAGAAGAAAAAAGGAGTTGCACACAGTAAAGTTTCTGAAGATAAATTGCAGTTCAGTATTAATGAGGGGTGTGGGATGAAGGAAAGCAAATATTAGCTTCAGATGGCTAAGCGGCACTGCTTCTCCAGTTAAGTAATTGTCTCTCTTGATTCTTAACATCAAACTGCGTACTTCCGATTATTTGTGACTAAAGCCAAGGCAGGCTATGGAGAGTTTTAAGAGGACTACAGAATCAGCACACCTGTTAAGGCTAGACAGAGACCCACTAAAACAATACCAGTTGCTATGATATATTAATCTGCCTAAATACACTAAAATAACAGATCATGTCTAATCTTTGAAGCTAAACAGGTTCCATTCTGTTTAATACTTGGATGGCAGCCACTGACCCAGGTGCTGTTGGCTATATTTCAGAAAAAGGAACTGGCAAAACCACTTCTAAGTATTCTTTCCCTAAGAAACCCCTATGAAATTAAGGGGATCACTATAAGTGACTAAAAGGTACATGTGCAAAGACGTTTTATATTGAAAGACTTTATTATAACACCTTACCTGTCTTGCATGGATACGGAAATTCAATACAGGTAACACCCGAAATGTACCAAATCCTGTCTGATCTTGGAAGCTACTCTGGGTCTGTCCTAGTTAGTATTTGAATGGGAGACCACCAATGAATACAAGGTACCATAGCCTACATTTCAGAGAAAGGAAACACCTCTTGGCTATTGTCTAAGAAAGTCAAATGAAATTTATGGGCTTGCTGTAAATTGACAGGTGACTTGAAAGCACATGTACCTTAAAAGACCTTGATGTAGCACAAGGCTGTGTGGCACAATAAACACATTCATTTTAAAAGCCTGGAAAGATGAATATATCTATTATACTATAATTTTTCAGTGCAAGGGGCATTTGATTCCCAGAGACAAGAAAGGTTTCTGAAAAGTAAAGTGCAAATCCACTGCAACATTTGCCTCTGAGTGTCTGATCTTAGAAGCTAAGCAAGGTCAACCCTGGATAGTACTTGGATAGGAGATCACCAATAAATACCAGGTGACATAGGCTATACTGTAGAGCAGGCATGGGCAAACTTAGGCCCTCCATGTGTTTGGGACCAACTCCCACAATTCCTATCAACCTGTAGGCTGTTAGGAATTGTGGGAGTTGAAATCCAAAACACCCAGAGGACCTAAGTTTGCCCATGCCTACTGTAGAGGAGGGAACTAGCAAAACCACCTCTGAGTATTCCTTTCCTAAGAAAACTTTATGAAATTAATGCGGTTGCCATAAATCGACAGGTTTCTTGAAGGCGGACATATGTTTCTTCAAAGACTTTGTTGTAACACAAGGCTGTGTGGCACAACAAATACAGTAGACTCAGTTAACCGGATTGGAAGATGCCAGATAAATGCAGTTTCTGGTTGCTTGAGAGTTCATCTTCAAAAAAGACCTAGCTAATTATGTACCCCATACAACACCATATCATAAATTCTGTAGTGATTTAATATTAATATTGAAACACAGCAATTAAAAGTAAATAAAGACAAACCTAATGTAATCCAGTTTTACTGTATTATGAAACAGCTTTTTAAACATTGAAAATATTATTGGGTTGCTGTGAGTTTTCTGGGCCGTATGGTCATTTTCCATAATAATAATAATAATAATAATAATAATAATAATAATAATAATATTTGTATTGTCGAAGGCTTTCATGGCCGGAATCACTGGGTTGTTGTAGGTTTTTTCGGGTTGTATGGCCATGGTCTAGAGGCATTCTCTCCTGACGTTTTGCCTGCATCTATGGCAAGCATCCTCAGAGGAACGTCACTACCTCTGAGGATGCTTGCCATAGATGCAGGTGAAACGTCAGGAGAGAATGCCTCTAGACCATGGCCATACAGCCCGAAAAGACCTACAACAACCCAATAATAATCTTTATTTGTACCGTGCCACCATTCCCCGAGGGGACTCAGGTTGGCTAACATGAGGCCAAGCCCAAAGATACAATACAGGAGAATACAAAAGCATTCTCTCCTGATGTTTTGCCCACATTGATGGCAGGCAACCTCAGAGGTTGAGGGGTTTATAGATCTGTGGAAGATCCCGGGTGGGAAAATAGATATATAAACCTCACTTGCCTATTTTCCAACAGACTTCACAACCTCTGAGGATGCCTGCCATAGATGTGGACAAAACGTCAGGAGAGAATGCTTCCGGAACATGGCCACACAGCCTGGAAAACTCACAGCAACACAGTGATTCCAGCCATGAAAGTCTTCAGCAACACATTGAAAGTATTATTTCTTCAATTTTGAGAGTCTACTGTACTGAGTCTACATTTTATGGTGGGATGAAGGTATTTGTTTATTTATTTATTATGCCTCCCAAGGACCACAGGAGAGGTTTCTGAGAAGCCTGCGCCTTTCCCTCTGCCTGCTTCACAGAGAGATGGCGCCTTTTCCTCCCTGTCAAAGAGGCAGAGTCCTCATCCAACCGCCTTGGTCTCCTCAGAGAAGCTGGGTCACTTCGGAGTGGAGTTGGAGGGAGAGGAGGAGGAGGCAGGCTTGGGGGTGGTGGGTCCTCTGGGTCTCCCCTTCCGCAGCCCTAACTGGGCCCTTCCTGAGGGAGGAAACGTCCCTTCCTTCTCGCTTACCTCTTTGCAGGCGTGGAGGTCCTCCCCTCGGGCCACGGCACCTGCCCAGAGCAGCAGCAGCAGCAGCGAGAAGAGGAGCGGGAGGGACCTTTTCCCGGTCCCAACAGGGAGGCACAACGGCGGGGAGGAGAATAACGGGGGGCAGCACTCTTGTACACCCAGCAAGGGATGGAGACCGCCAGCCTCAGCCATACTGGCGAACGGGGAGAAAGGCGACGAACAGGTGTGACAGCAGCAGCAGCACTCCTCCCTCCTCCCTCCTCCTCCTCTTCCTCACTGACGGCCCAAGAAGGATGCAGTGGCGGCGGCGGCGGCCTCGCCTCCAACTGGTCCCGCCCCCCTTGTCAGGTTCGGCACCGCCCACACTTCGTCGCCTAGCAACCACAAAGCTGCCGGGCCTCGGAGGCGGAAGCGCACCTGAGGGCTTGGAGTCGAAGATGCTCCTCTTCTTCCCCCCTCCCCCACCCCCACCCTGCGTCCTCGTGAGCGCGCGCGAGCCAGCCGGAAGCGCTGCTCAAGAGGTCGCGCTTGGTTGCGCTCGCGCGGCTCTTTTCGAATGGAAGCGAAATGACAGAAAGAAAGAGAGGGGGGGGGGAGGAAAGAGGAAAGAGGGCGGGGCGGCCGCGTGCTGCTGGCCTGGAGCGCGCGGACGAACGGCGCGCAGCAGCAATATCTATATCAGGCATGGGCAAACTTTGGCCCTCCAGGTGTTTTGGACTTCAACAGCCGGTAGGCTGTTAGGAATTGTGGGGATTGAAGTCCAAAACACCTGGAGGGCCAAAGTTTGCCCATGCCTGATCTATATAGATATACTTATTTTATTTATTTGCTAGCCATCCCCTGCCACGCGTTGCTGAGGGCCAGTCTGGTGATCTGGAAAATAAAGTAACGAGAAAGTGTTGGTTTCTAATATATGAAATTTCTTTTATGCTTGTGGGTAAACAGTATTTCTTATTGTATTGTCGAAGGCTTTCATGGCCGGAATCACTGGGTTGTTGTAGGTTTTTTCGGGCTACATGGCCATGGTCTAGAGGCATTCTCTCCTGACGTTTCGCCTGCATCTTTGCCAAGCATCCTCAGAGGTAGTGACTAGGTCTGTTGAAACATTCACACCTAGCTCCAGCAGACAAGAATCCTTTGTCCCACCCTGGTCATTCCACAGATATATAAAACCTTTTTCCTAGTTCCAACAGACCTCACTACCTCTGAGGATGCTTGCCATAGATGCAGGCGAAACGTCAGGAGAGAATGCCTCTAGACCATGGCCATATAGCCCGAAAACAACTACAATAACCCAGTATTTCTTGTTGTTTCTTTGTCAGTGTTGATGTGAAGAGGGGAGGGGGACTCAGGGCGGCTTCACAACAAACACTTATTCGAGTGCTAACCACAATTATAAAACATATTTAAAAAACAGTTCATTAAAATATTAAGAAACATTTGATTAAAATCATGCTGGTTTAAAATCAGTGCCCGGGACAGTCCATTCTCATACATATCACAATGAGTCTTATTCCCGATTGCAGCTGCTATTGTTCAATTGCTTGGTCCCATAACCAGGTTTTGAGTTTTTTTTCTAAAGGACAGGAGGGAAGTAGCCAGTCTTATGTCACTGGGGAGAGAGTTCCATAGGTGCGGGACCACCACTGAGAAGGCCCTGTTTCTCCTCCCCACCAGTCACGTTTGCGATGGTGCTGGGATCGAGAGCAGAGCCTCTCCAGCTGATCTTAAACTTCGTGGTGGTTCTTAACCAGAAATACGTTATACATCCGTACATTCACACACACACACACACCCCTCTCTCTCTCTATATATATATATACATACACACCCCTATATAAATACCTATATATCACGCATGGGCAAACTTCAGCCCCCTGGGTGTTTTGGACTTCCAATTCCCACAATTCCTAACAGCCTACCGAAGGCTTTCATGACCAGAATCACTGGGTTTTTTAGTGTTTTCCAGGCTGTACAGCTTAGACGATGCAAATGGATAAGGAGTTGAACTGGAAGACATTGATAATTTTAATGATTTTATATGGATGCTTATTATGTTATATTAAATGTTTTTAATTGATATGTATATATGTATGTTGTGGCATCAAATCATTGCCAATCTGTTTGCCGCCTTGAGTCGCCTTCAGGCTGAGAAAGGCCAGATAAAAATGCTGTAAATAAATAAATGTTCCAGAAGCATTCTCTCCTGAGGTTTCTGGCTACTAATATTTTAAAAATACTAATCACCTCCCAACAAAGGATTCCCCCCAGATAGGAAGCAGCCAGACCTTGAAAACTGCTAGGCCATTAAATGCTAATCAGGCTGGCCAACTGCAACATTCACATTTGCCTCAGGCAGACAAGAGTTCCTTCTCCCAGCCAGGACTTTCCACAGATATATAAACTCAATTTTCCTAGTCTCCAACAGACCTCACCACCTCTGAGGATGCCTGCCATAGATGCAGGCAAAACATCAGGAGGGAATGCTTCTGGAACAAACAGCCCAGAAAACACACAACAACCCAGTCTACCAGCTGTTAGGAATTGTAGGTGTTGAAGTCCAAAGCACCTGGAGGGCCGAAGTTTGCCCATGCCTGCTCTCAGTTTGACTCCCCTGGCTCAATGCTATGGAATCCTGGGATCTGTAGTTTGGTGAGGCGCCAGCACTCTTCGGCAATGAAGGCCCGAGGCCTTATAAAACTACAACTCTCGTGATTCCGTAGCACTGAGCCATGAGAGCCCCAATTAATTTCAAATGACATTAATCCAACAGCATAAAATGCACCCTAGAGGCATAAAACAATTTCCTTTAGGCTATCAGAACTATAAGAGAAAGTGGATCTAATTTAAAAAAAGAAGAAGAAACCCCTCCAATATTGTTTTATTTGAAGAGGAGGAAATGCTGATCTGCTGAACGTTGCGCTTCGGCTTCAACATCTGTCCTTTGTGGCAAATCCTGCCTCAGCCGCCTGCTGTTCCTCTTTCCAGCCCTTAGGGGTCGCTTGAGAGCCTGGCTGTTTCCTAGCAACCTCGATGGAACCTCCTAAACAAAGGTGACAGAAGCCCAGGTCTGGTGCTGCTGCTGCTGGTGCTGCTGCTGGTGCTACTGCTGCTGGTGGTTCTGCAGCCTTGGAGCATGGCCACCACCATGAACCCCTTCCCATTCCCAGACTCTGAAAATGAAAAAGACAACACTGGAAACAACCAGACTTTCCCAGTAAGAGATCATTTTTTAATATGAAAAAGTTGTAAATGTATTAAATATATGCACATTCATTTATTTTATATGCCAGCAAAGTATCATCAGACTCATAGTGGTGGAGGGAGGAAATAATATGAAAGCCTCCTTCTTTGGAGGCTTTTAAACAGAGGCTGGATGGCCATCTTGCCTTGCAGACAATTTCATGGTCCAGAAGGTAGAAGAGGCAACAAGGGGATTGGCTACTCTTGATCTCATCCTAACAAATGCGGAGGACCTGATCGATGCGGTCGAAGTGGTAGGATCCTTAGGGGCAAGTGACCATGTGCTCCTGCAATTTGAGGTACAAAGGAAGGCCGAAACTAAGACAAGTCAAACCCGCATTTTGGACTTTAGGAGAGCCGATTTCCAAAAAATGAAGGAAACGCTGAGCAGCATTCTGTGGACACAGATACTAAAACATAAGGGAGTTATGGATGGGAATTTCTCAAGAGCGAAATACTCAAGGCGCAATTGCAAACCATGCCAATGAAGAGAAAAAATAGGACAAGTGCAAAGAAGCCAGAATGGATGTCCAAAGAACTTCTAACTGTGCTAAGACACAAAAGAGACATGCACAAGAAGTGGAAAAAGGGAGAAATCACCAAAGAAGAATTCAAACAAATAGCCAACACCCGTAGGGAAAAGGTCCGCAAGGCTAAAGCACAAAACGAGCTCAGACTTGCCAGGGACATTAAAAACAATAAAAAGGGCTTCTTTTATTATGTCAGTAGAAAAAGGAAAATCAAGGCGTATAGGACCTCTTCGAGGAGAAGATGGGGCAATGCTGACAGGGGATAGGGAAAAGGCAGAACTACTTAATGCCTTCTTTGCCTCGGTCTTCTCACAAAAAGAGAGTCTTCAACCTCAGCAAGATGGAGTGGATGAGGGATTAGAGGACATCCAACCCCAAATTGGGAAACAAGTCGTCCAGGAATACCTGGCCGCTCTAAATGAGTTCAAGTCCCCAGGGCCAGATCAACTACACCCAAGAGTATTGAAGGAACTAGCGGAAGTCATTTTGGAACCATTGGCAACCATCTTTGAGAGTTCTTGGAGAACAGGAGAAGTTCCAGCAGATTGGAGGAGGGCCAATGTGGTCCCAATCTTCAAGAAGGGAAAAAAGGATGACCCAAACAACTACCGTCCGGTCAGCCTCACGTCGATACCGGGCAAGATTCTGGAAAAGATTGTTAGGGAAGCGGTCTGCAAACACTTAGAAACAAATGCAGTCATCGCTAATAGTCAACATGGATTTATCAAAAACAAGTCATGCCAGACTAATCTGATCTCTTTCTTCGATAGAGTTACAAGCTGGGTAGATGCGGGGAATGCCGTGGATGTAGCGTACCTGGATTTCAGTAAGGCCTTCGACAAGGTCCCCCATGACCTTCTGGCAAGGAAACTAGTCCAATGTGGGCTAGGCAAAACTACGGTGAGGTGGATCTGTAATTGGTTAAGTGGACGAACACAGAGAGTGCTCACTAATGCCTCCTCTTCATCTTGGAAAGAAGTGACAAGTGGAGTGCCGCAGGGTTCCGTCCTGGGCCCGGTCCTGTTCAACATCTTTATTAATGACTTAGATGAAGGGCTAGAAGGCATGATCATCAAGTTTGCAGATGACACCAAATTGGGAGGGATAGCCAATACTCCAGAGGACAGGAGCAGAATTCAAAATGATCTTGACAGATTAGAGAGATGGGCCAAAACTAACAAAATGAAGTTCAACAGTGACAAATGCAAGATACTCCACTTAGGCAGAAAAATGAAATGCAAAGATACAGAATGGGGGACTCCTGGCTCGAGAGCAGTACATGTGAAAAAGATCTTGGAGTCCTGGACAACAAGTTAAACATGAGCCAACAATGTGATGTGGCGGCAAAAAAAGCCAATGGGATTTTGGCCTGCATCATAGGAGCATAGTGTCTAGATCTAAGGAAGTCATGCTCCCCATGCTCTATTCTGCTTTGGTTAGACCACATCTGGAATATTGTGTCCAATTCTGGGCCCCACAATTCAAGAGAGATATTGACAAGCTGGAATGTGTCCAGAGGAGGGCGACTAAAATGATCAAGGGTCTGGAGAACAAGCCCTATGAGGAGCGGCTTAAGGAGCTGGGCATGTTTAGCCTGAAGAAGAGAAGGCTGAGAGGAGATATGATAGCCATGTATAAATATGTGAGAGGAAGCCACAGGGAGGAGGGAGCAAGCTTGTTTTCTGCTTCCTTGGAGACTAGGACGCGGAACAATGGCTTCAAACTACAAGAAAGGAGATTCCATCTGAACATGAGGAAGAACTTCCTGACTGTGAGAGCCGTTCAGCATTGGAACTCTCTGCCCCGGAGTGTGGTGGAGGCTCCTTCTTTGGAAGCTTTAAGCAGAGGCTGGATGGCCATCTGTCAGGGGTGATTTGAATGCAATATTCCTGCTTCTTGGCAGGGGGTTGGACTGGATGGCCCATGAGGTCTCTTTCAACTCTTTGATTCTATGATTCTATGATTCTATGATCTGTCTGGGATGCTTTGAATGCAATTTTCCTGCTTCTTGGCAGGGAGTTGTACTAGATGGCCCATGAGGTCTCTTCCAACTCTATGATTCTACTAGAGGAAACCTGAAGCACTTGCCTAGTTTCCAACAGACCCCTCAACCTCTGAGGATGCCTGCCATAGATGTGGCAAGACGTCAGGAGAGAATGCTTCTGGAACATGGTCATACAGCCCATCCTTCAGGCAAGAGATGAACTTTTTTCAGAAAGGAAGGGAAAAAAAATCTTTTAATGACATCTGATAAGGCATGCAAACAAAACCTCACTACCTCTGAGGATGCTAACCATAGATGCAGGCGAAATGTCAGGAGAGAATGCCTCTAGAACATGGCCATATAGCCCGAAAAAACCTACAACAACCCAGTGATTCCGGTCATGAAAGCCTTCGATAATACATGCAAACAAAAATTCAGTATCTGTTGACTAAAAGTGAAGCATCCAGTCCATACTTCAGGAAACAATGCCTGACTGCTCACTGGAGGGAAGGATATTAGAGGCAAAGATGAAGTACTTTGGGCCACATAATGAGAAGACAGGAAAGCTTGGAGAAGACAATGATGCTGGGGAAAATGGAAGGACAAAGAAAGAGGGGCCGACCAAGGGCAAGATGGATAGACGTTATCCTTGAAGCAAGTGGCTTAACATTGAAGGAACTTGGGGTGGTCACAGCCAACAGGAAGCTCAGCTGTAGGCTGGCCCATGAGGTCATGAAGAGTCGGAAGCGACTGAACGAATAAGCAACAAAAGTAAAGGGAAAGGTTTTCATAATTCTTTTATTTAACCCCCCCCCCCCCCATTTAAATGCTTCTAGCCAATGGTTAGCTGAATTTTAGGTAACCCACTAGTGAGGACTGAACTACTATGTGACAAGACAATTCAAAACGAAATTGAATATGGAAAGCTGAGTCCATTCTTTGCAACGATGGTAGGGAAAATAGCCTTTCCTGCATTGGTTTGTTCCCAAAGGACAATGAGACAAAGAGTAAGGACTGTAAATTTTAAGATTTAGGCCATATTGTCAAATTATATACTGTATTTCTTTGATTCTAAGACACAGTTTTTATATACAGACACACCCTGGTTTTAGAAATGTTTATATGGAAATAAAGTGTACCTTAGGACTGAAGAAATTTGGTATCAATAAAGCAGTTGGCATGATTCCTATTTTAAGATAAAGTGACTGTTCTTCCAGTAATATCTGGCCTTTATAAAGTAGTCAGGAGAACACTTTTTTAAAATGGGGGGAATCCAGGAATTACAGATCTATGAATTTAAATGTATGATCTGCATAAATTCGTGGAATACAAGATACAATTACTAAGCACACACAGAGAGAGACACAAATGATAGTAAAGGTAAAGGTTTCCCCTTGACATTAAGTCTAGTCATGTCTGACTCAGGGGGTGGTGCTCATCTCCATTTCTAAGCTGAAGAGCCAGTGTTGTCCATAGAGGCTTCCTAGGTCATGACAGCATGGAGCGCCGTTACCTTCCTGCCGTAGTGGTAGCGGTACCTATTGATCTACTCACATTTGCATGTTTTTGAACTGCTAGATTGGCAGAAACTAGGGCTAACAGCAGGAGCTCATCCCGCTCCTCAGATTCGAACAGCTGACCTTTTTGTCAACAAGTTCAGCAGCCCAGTGGTTCAACTTGCTGTGCCACCAGGGGCTCCATATTAGATATTATATACAATATATAATAAATAATATATAATTAATGTAAGGTTATTATACACACACACAGTTTTATATATATGATCATATATCATTCTGTAATTAAGTAACACTTCCTGGCATAGAAGTAAGACTTCTTGATAGTCCCAAAGCCTTGAAATTTGAGTCCTGTGGTAATGTTGTTGTTATCTGTCTTCAATGCATTTCTGACTTGCGGTGACCTTACCACAGGATTTTCTTGCCAATATTTATTCAGAGATTTGCAATTGTTTTCCTCTGAAGCCAAAGGAGTGTCACTTGCCAGGGTCACCATCCAGTGTGTTTCTATGGGACTCAAATTCCTAGTCTAGTATTAAAACCATTACATTCCCACATGCCTTTTCTTAAACGTTAATCCAGATGAAAAACAGATGGAGATTCATTTCTGTACAAATTATCTCAAAAATATGTCAATGCACCTCATAAACCTATTTTGGCTGTTGTACAGGCAGCAGGCAGCAGCAACAATACGCATGGTCCATCTTTTCTTCTGCAACCTCTTCCCATTGTCTTTCCTAGCTCAAAATAGCAGAGCACACTGATGAGTGGGTCAAAAGTCACTGATCTTTCCATAACTGTTTAAAAACATGTTACCTGTAATGTAATGTAATGTCCTATATACTGTAGATGATGCTATAGTATTAATTCAAAATAATATATATATATATTGAAAACACATTGGTAAGGGGCTTCCAACATTCTAGTTAAAAGGGGAAAAACAAGGAAGACACATGTTCATTCTCATTTTACAGCCTCTGTGGGCAGGGCTCCCCTACCTCACAAATAAATTGCAATTCAGGAGAATATGTTTCTTCAAAATATAAAGGTTTGCAACAATTATTTCAAGCTCAAATGCCTTTTATTGGTCCAGAAAACACCTTATCCTTCGCCCAACCATGCTGTCCCAGAGCAAGACCCCTGGAGTCGTCTCTATGGAACACCTACCTTAGCAAGCATCCGAAGAGAAATCTGGTACTTACAACCTGAGGTAAAAATATTGATTTTTTTTGCTACTTTTTCATTTTCTAGTTTGCCTTTTCCATCACATCATTCTTCCCTTTATAAATGTTGATAAGCATTCAGAGAACATATCATTTTCCTTCAATAAAGATCAGTTAGTCTTGAGGTTTTCATTGGAAGTTTCTCTCATAAAGGATTACTTCTTGGAGTTAATCACACATGAGGTTCTAATGTTTATTTACAGCAAGCCATAAATTTATGCATATAAACATGTGAATACTGATTTGCATCCACAATTCATCTAGCCTTCCAGAGACAGTCTGGATTTTCATCTCACCGCTCTGTACAATCACCATGAAGACCTGCTTAAAGACAAGAGCAAAGTAGTTCTCCATAAAGAAACAATCTTTGATACCCATGGGTAAGCATAATTCATTGACTGCCTCGCATTCAGCCAACTGTAGGGTCCCATATTTATATTTATCTTTGTATAACGCATCAAACAAAAGCTTGTAGCTGCAACGCCAACAATGGCATGTGATTGGATATGCCATATGATACATAAGCTTGAAAGCAAGCACGAGCATTTTAAATGTTTTCATGAAAACTGTCCTTTGTATCATCTGTAGAAGAGCCACATTTCAAGGCTTTCCCTCAGAGCAAATTGGCCTTGCTGCCCATTCACCATAATACAGGAATGTTAGAAGTGTTTTTACCTTCTCAGCGGTGGCCCCTCAGTTGTGGAACACCCTGCTCAGGATATTAGATCAGCCCCCTCCCTCTTGACCTTCTGGAAAAAAAGTGAAAATGTGGATATTTGAACAAGCCTTCAGAATCTAATGCAAGTCAAACATATTAGGCAAAAGTGAACATTGGAACAGCTCAGACAATGATTTATGGATAATGAAACTAACACTGAAGGCATTGCTTTTATATGTTTTATTGAATATATTTTAATTCTATTAATTGTATATTGATAGGCATCAAATTGCTGCCTGGTTGTAAGCTGCCTTGAGTCACCTTCGGGTTCAAGAAAGGCGGGATAGAAATATTGTAAATAAATAAATAAATAATACTTTGGCACATAATCCCACATTAGATTGGTGTTGAAATTTGCACATAATATTTAAGCAAGCAGCTTTTTGTTGCAGATTGGAATTCGGCCTAGTGAATGTTTACTTCATAGAGGAGGATAATTACTCAGCACTTTAAATGTGCCAGAATATCAATATCTAAAAGTGTAATAGGAAATTTCCAGAGGTCTGAATTGGCAGCGGCCGTTGCCCTTATTGCACCATTCACCGCAGCTCTATAATAAAATTGCATCAAGACCTAATTTTTATCACTTGAGGAATTGAACACAAAGCCAAAGAAGTAGGCACAATGATTGATAATTGCTACATATATTCACTTAATAAAATCCCCCTTGCTCCTTCTGTCACAGTTAGGGCTGGGACAACTTCTATTTGTTTAGGAGCTCAGTATATATAAATATGCAGTTTGCTTAAGGGTCTGTCAACTGAAGGCAATGTAGACATGGACTAGTCTGTATTGCTGAAAGTAAATGTACATTTAATTTGCAATAATGCAGGTATAACTCTGATTTAATAAATCCTGCTGCTTCTTACTGAAGTGTTCCCTAGCATTTTATTATCTCTCCTAGTTGTTTCAGTGCTATACAGCCTGTGCATTTCAGATCACTTTAGCATCAATAATATGCTAACACTTATTCCCCCTCATTTTTGAGCACTGTAGGATACCAAGGCGTTTAGAGCTTGGACAGGAACATGTTGAACCTTCAATTCATCGTCCCACTTCCAGGGGCATCTGTGTAAGACATTGGATGAGCCCAGTAAAAGAGTCAATCCATAGTATTGAAGGGGCCATTGGTAAGCACAACTAGTAGATGCCTATTAAAGAGAAGTTAGCATAAGAACACAAACCCTCCAGAGTTTATGGACCCTTACTTTAAGCAGATCAACATCCTAAACCAGGGGTCCACAAACTTTTTAAACAGAGGGCCAGGTCACAGTCCCTCAAACTGTTGGAGGGCCAAATTAAAATTTGGAAAAAAAAACATGACTTCCTATGCAGCTGCACATATCTTATTTGTGGTGTAAAAAACATTTAAAAACAATACAATAATTAAAATGAGGAACAATGTTAACAAATATAAACTTGTTAGTATTTCAATGGAAAATGTGGGCCTGCTTTTGGCTGATGAGATAGGATTGTTGTTGTTGTTATGTACTTTAAAGTCGTTTCCGACTTAGGTTGACCCTGAGCGAGGGCCGGGTAAATGACCTTGGAGGGCCTTAGTTTGAGGACCCCTGTCCTAAACGCACCACTTCCCTGGGTTAGCCTTTCTTGATTATTTTGGCTGTCTCCAAAAAAACACTTTTTTGGAGAACATAATCATTTTTCCTTGAACCTAGTCACTTGTTATTATATGAAAAGCAAAGTGATGTTTGAAAAACTCAACACAGGCTAGTATTCTGAAAGCTTTGCCCAGCTGGTGAGCTACTGAAATGTATGGTATGGCTCTAAAGTAGGAAACAGCAATACCAAAGAACAGTTAGCAGTTCTAAAAAAAACACTCTTGGACTGTTTGAAATTTTTTTTAAAGAAAAAAGGTGGGTGAGATTAAAATTGTTTTTATAAGAGCCAAGCAGATCTATCTAGATTGTAGGGCTTTATTCTATTCAAAAAGTAACCTTCTATTGTATGTCCATTGTAAACACAAACATTTTCCTTACTGTTTTGATAGAGTAGGTTTACTATATATATAAAGTATTCATTTTTCTGTTATTCTCAATATGAAGATGTTTTCAAAAAGAGGATTATCTTAAACCGATGTGTGGCAATCCTCAATGCTCTGATACTTGGAAGATTTTTCATTATTTGAAACACTAAAGCCCCTTCTGCACTGCCATATAAAATCCAGATTATCTGCTTTGATAATGTGGATTATATGGTAGTGTAGAAGGGGCCTAAGGAAGAAGTTGACACCATGGCTTTTGTGGTTGTTTTGCAGAGTCTCCACATACAGCAGCCACTAACAGTGGATACTCTCGCAAGGAGAATGGAGGGATCTTCTATCACTAAAGCTGCCACCCAGCTGACTGGCCATGCTGCTGCTTTGATCCTTTCAACCTGCAATCACTTAGTCCTGGGCTAACTCTTTGCATTGAGTTCCTTCATTAAACCATGCAGCTTCACTGAATTCTAGTAAGGGCACAGTGATACTGTATGTCAGTGGTTAATGAAAAATCCCAGACAAGCCGTTTCCTACTGGTAGGTAAATCTACAAACCCAGCATGCCTAAAAATCCAAAGATTTCATGATGGACTCCGTCAGTCCAGAATAAGGTCAGTTTAGACTGAATCATACCTTATTTGACTCTAATATTACCTATAGTAATCTAAGATGGTTCAAAACTGTTCACAGTAAACTAGCTAAATAAAAGCCACATTTATAGCTTACTCCCAAACTATCAAATCTTCTGAGCATTTGTTGCAATATCCTGAAAAACCTGTTTTTTCTGTCCTGTATTAAAGTCAAAATTATTGGAAATTTTCAGGAAGAGAATGCATTATATTTTCAGAGACCATGTGAACAAAGAGTGTGCTTGTCTTAAGATGAGAACTAAGATGTATGCAGCCAAAAGTAAACATTTTGGGTTTTTTTCCCTGATAGATTTGACCATACATGCCAGCAAACTTGAAAACACTATGTAGCAATGCAAATATAAAATAACCCTTTCTGTATTACACATAACCTAGCACACATCTCCTTTGACCTACAGTTTAAGGATACTGTTTGTGTTTCTGTGAATCCCAAAGAGCACTATTTCCTTTAGCACTATATCTTAAGTCAAGCGCTCCAGGGCAAGTCTCCACAAGAACAAACTGCTTAGAGGCCCTGAAGGCTGTAACCATTATATTCAGTCTACTAACCTCTTTCCAAGTGTATCAGGAACAAGGATGAACTGAATACCAAAATGCACACACAACACTTTACAAGAACAAAATGTAATACTGATTAACTGGACAAAACAATTGAAAATACTTTATCACAATGGCAGTGTGCAGACGACCTGGAACAATAGGCTGTCGCCAAAAATCAACAGCAACCCTGACTAGTTCAAATCACACAGTCCCACACTGCCATCATGATTTTCCTCAGGATGGCAACATAGCTACAATTACTACACAATTTAGCAGGTTTGCCCAGCCTGGTACCTCTCAAATGTCTTATTACTATTATATTTATTTTTACTCCGCTTTATCTCCCAAAAAGGTGGTGTTAATTATATTCCTTCCATTCTGAGCTCCCTTGGTCATCCAAGGAGAGAATACTATGCTTGGAAAGACTCTGGGTGCCTCTACACTTTAGAATGAACGCAGTTTGAAACCACTTTACCTGCCCTAGCTGAATATTATGAAATCATGGGAATTCTAGTGCAGATGCACCATGTTCCAATACATCTTTAACCCCCTTCCAATTTCTTTGTACATTCTTCCTGTTCTGCTTTCAACCCTTTCAGCAGTACTTTCTTCACTCTCTCAAAAGAACGTCTGATCTGTACGATTTATTGAAACATACAATCTCCTTCCAGATTTTTGATTACTTTTCCTTACCCATGCCTCACTCTCAGCAATCTTCCATTTACCTTCAAAATCAAGACACTAGTGTTCATTTAGTGTTCAGACCTTTGGAATCATGTAATTTAGCTTTCCTTTCTCCGTTGACTTTTTAATGCTCCTCATTGTGTCTAAGGTTTTAATCCCAGCCAAAATATCAGTGTTTGCTTCCTGAATAAGAATGGCAAACTGTTCAGTTCCTGGAGCAATTAAACATCTCAAGCATTATAACATCCCCGGAAATAACCTTGAGGTTTCACTGTTGCAAGTGTAGCAAAAAAAACGTTGGTCTAGAGTCAAAGCTTTGCTCAGCATTTGACTATCAGAAAAAAAAACTTCCACACAGCAAAAATGAGTTTGTAGTGAATTTTCTTAGCAACCATTTCCAATACGTAATGTCAACAGACTTGTTAAGAAATAAAAATCAAGTTCTTACTAATTCGTTTTATTCAATATTGCCTATAAATTTTATAAAAGCCATGTTCTGGGGAGAAAACAAGAAAGATGGAATACATCCATTGTGACACAGCATGTGTCACAATGAGACAAGGGGCTCAACTCTTTCATAAGAACTTAGTAAATAATTAGTTTTGCAGAAAGGAAACAAGAGCTGAAAGAGAACTAAGAAAGATGCCTTAAAGACAAGATTGAGAAACTAAACAGTTAGAAGGTGGAGAAATGAAGCAAGTAAATGCAGAAAAAAATCCACACCTTTTATAAAACTGCAAGAGCTTGCTATATTGTAGGATAATGCAAAGAACAGAAAGAAAGAAAGAAATTCACATTTCTGCAAGATCAAAGAAATGGCAGGAAGTACAGATTTTATACACTGGTGGGAAGACATTTTTCCAAACCTGAATATTCAATTCCTCCAATATTGAAAATGCTTATCGTGTGATGATATCTAGGATTAGTGACGTGTCCTAACTAGGGGACATCCAGTGAGGAGTCTAAATTTGTAGGATTTGGGTGCAGGACCAATGTGAAAATAAAGAAGAAAACTGCCCATTTTTTAAAAAATGATTTTTTTTCCTGAGTGAACACCTAGGAATCTCTGCTCAACTCGGCCAGAAGTTGATCACAAAATCATACTAGAAGACCTAGATTCCTTGAGAAGGTCTTGGGTAAATCCTTAAGTAAATCCTATGGAAAAACCGGACACTGGTAACTACTGTAATGATGTCCTTTTTAATTGTGTAGCAACCTCCACAAGGTGGCAGCATTCTTAGAAGTTAGTATGGCTCTGAAACATTTAACTATTAGCTCAGCACTGTAGCTATGCTAGTCACTGAATGAGTTAGAAGAGACCATGTGGCCATCCAGTCTAACCACCTGCCATGCAGAACTGCACAAAGCCAAGACCTTGTAAAACTATAACTTACATGATTCTATAGAACTATTTATTTATCATGTCAGAAGCAAACCGAGGGTACAGTTGAAATGTATTTAAAAACACAGTTTTAAAACTTGGCATTAAAATAAATGTCCTTTGACCAGTAACTGGCCACTTGGAGTGCCTCTGGTGTTGCTAAAAGAAGGTCCTCCATTGTGCATGTGAAAGGGCTCAGGTTGCATTGTAGTAGGCAGTCTGTGGTTTGCTCTTCTCCACACTCGCATATCCTGGACTCCACTATGTGGTCCTATTTCTTAAACTACCAAAGAACTGAGCCATGGTAGTTCAAGGACTCTTCCAGACAGGCCCTATATCCTAGGATCTGATCCCAGATGTCCTGCTTTAAACTGGATTATATGAGTCCCCACTACCAGATAATCTGGGATAAACAAAGAACCTATTTAAGGAGCTCCATTGGCTGCCATTCATTTTCCGGTCCCAATTTAAGGTGCAGGTTCTTACCTACAAAGCCCAGAACAGTTTGGAACCCACCTACCTGCGTGACCGCATTTCTGTTTATGAACCCATGCGATCTCTCCGATCATCTGGAGAGGCCCTGCTCTCGCTCCCGCTCTCTTCGCAGGTGTTATTGGTGGAGACAAAGAAGAGGGCCTTCTCCAGGGTGCCCCCCCCCCCGACTTTGGAACTCACGCCGCAAGAATATCAGACAAGCCCCCACATTGACAGTCTTTAGGAGCCTGAAAACGTGGCTGTTCCAGTGTGCCTTCCCTAAATAAAGGAAACATTGCCCTGCTCTGACCAATTCCCTGCAAAATGTCCTCAGAAGCACTTTAACTACCTGTTGGGTTGATCTCCCTACATTATCCTTTAAAATCCCGCTTAGATATACCCTACCTCTGTTTGCGCCCAGTGTTTATTTGTAAAATTTTAATCTATTACATCTGGCCCGGCCACAATGTTTTAAATTTTTTTGTGTTACTGCTTATATGCGAGTTATATTAATTGTACTGTTTTATTTGATTGCTGCTTTGTTGTTTTACTGATGTGTTGTTTGGCTTGGCCTCATGTAACCTGCCCCGAGTCCTCCTGGGGAGATAGTGGTGGGGTATAAAGTTTTTTATTATTATTATTATTATTAGAAACACAACAAGACGAATCCACAGCAAATCATCAATTTTACATCTTTGTTCTGTGTTTTTTAATTTGTATTCTGTACAAATATGTTTTAATATGTGTATTTTATATAATTTTTTAGATTATTATATGTTTTTAGTGATGTTCTAGCCTGCCTCGAGCCACAAAGAGAGGTGGGTAAGAAATAAAATTATTATTATTTCATCCACTCCTCAAAAAGGCTTCCCTTGACTCCACGGTGCTGAACAATTACAGACCGATCTCCAACCTCCCTTTCTTGGGTAAGGTGCTGGAGCGGGTGGTCGCCTCCCAGCTCCAGGGCTTTTTGGATGACATCAACTACCTAGATCAGTCACAGTCTGGTTTCAGGCCTGGTCATGGCACCGAGACAGCCTTGGTCGCCTTGGTGGATGACCTCCGTAGAGAGCTGGACAGGGGGAGTGTGACTCTGTTGGTTCTCTTGGACATCTCAGCGGCTTTCGATACCATCGATCATGGTATCCTTCTGGGTCGTCTCTCTGGGATGGGTCTCGGGGGCACGGTTTTGTCGTGGCTCCAGTCCTTCCTGGAGGGACAAACCCAGATGGTGAAGCTGGGAGACACCTGCTCAGATTCCTGGCCTTTGACCTGTGGGGTCCCGCAAGGCTCTATCCTGTCTCCCATACTTTTTAACATCTACATGAAACCGCTGGGAGAGGTCATCCGGAGTTTTGTGCCATCTCTACGCAGATGACGCACAATTCTACTACTCTTTTCCACCTAATTCCAAGGAGGCCTCTTGGGTGCTGGACGAGTGCCTGGCCGCTGTGTCTATCTGGATGAGGAGGAACAAGCTGAAGATCAATCCCGACAAGACAGAGGTCCTCCTGGTCGATCGCAAACCGGATCGGGGTATAGGGTGGCAACCTGTGTTGGATGGGGTTACACTCCCCCTGAAGCCACAGGTCCACAGTTTGGGAGTCCTCTTGGACTCATCGCTCTCGCTTGAGGCTCAGGCGTCGGTAGTGTCCGGGAGGGCTTTTGCACAATTAAGACTTGTGCGCCAGCTGTGACCGTACCTCGCCAGGGTGGTCCATGCCTTGGTCACCTCTAGATTGGATTACTGCAATGCGCTCTACGTAGGGCTGCCCTTGAAAACGGCTCAGAAGTTCCAACTGGTCCAACGGGCAGTAGCCAGGATGTTAACCGGGGCTCATTACAGAGAGAGGTCAACCCTCCTGTTCAAGGAGTTCCACTGGCTGCCGTTTATTTTCCGAGCCCAATTTAAGGTGCAGGTGCTTACCTACAAAGCCCTGAACGGTTTGGGACCACCCTACCTGCGTGACCGCATCTCCGTCTACGAACCCACGCGTTCACTTCGGGCATCTGGAGAGGCCCTACTCGTGATCCCGCCTGCGTCGCAAGCGCGCTTGGTGGGGACTCGAGACAGGGTCTTTTCTGTGGTGGCCCCCCAACTCTGGAACGCCCTCCCAAGAGACCTTAGACAGGCCCCTACACTGGGAGTCTTCAGAAAGAACTTGAAGACCTGGCTGTTCCGATGTGCCTTCTCAGATTAGGAACCTCCAATACCAAGTCCTAGAAGCACTTTAGTAGAACTAAGATTACTGCACACCACACTCTGCACTTACTTATAATCCTACATACCTCCTGCCACATCAGCACTTTTAATCTTGTACCCATTATTCTGGCCCGGCCCAGTTTTATAGTGTCTTGATGTATTGTTTATTCTGCTTAACTGTTTTTAATTTGCTTTAGGTATTGTATTGTTGTATTGTGTTTTTGAGGCCTTGGCCTGTGTAAGCCGCATCAAGTCCTTCGGGAGATGCTAGCGGGGTACAAATAAAGTAATAATAATAATAATATTTGAAACACAAGATGAGTTCACAGCAGACACTCTGTTGGCTGTTGTACTGGATCACACGTCGGACAGTTTCTAGGACTGTGTGATGTATCGGCGATTATGCGTGCAGATCCCAGTAAGGTGGCCTTTTGCAGCTGGCAGATGGTAATTTCGTCAGCTGTAATATTGTGTTTAAGTGCAGGCCAAGGTCTTTAGGCACTGGACCCAGTGTGCTGTTCACCACTGGGACAACCTTTACTGGCTTGTGCCAGTCTTTACAGTTCAATCTTTAAATCCTCATATTGTGTCAGCTTTTCCTGTTGTTTCTCTGCAATTCTGCTGTCAACTGGGATTGCAACATCAACAATCCATACATTATTATTATTATTATCCTGGGATACTGGGCCTGCCTGGAAGGGCCCAAATTGGTGCCAAGCTACATTAATTCCCTATATCCCAGGATGTGATCCCAGATGTCCTGCTTTAAACTGGATGATATGAGTCCCCACTGCTAGATAATCTGGGATAAACAGAAAACCTGGGGTCAGATCCTGCCTGGAAGGAGCCTAAGTGGTGTCAAACTACATCAATTCTCTACATCCCAGGATGTAACCCCAGATGTCCTGCTTTAAACTGGGTTATATGAGTCTCCACTGCCAGATAATCTGGGATAAATAGAAAACCTGGGGTCAGATCCTGCCTGGAAGTACCCTAAGTGGTGTCAAACTACATTAATTCTCTACATCCCAGGATCTAACCCCTGATGTCCTGCTTTAAACTGGATTATACGAGTCCCCATTGCCAGATAATCTGGGATAAATAGAAAACCTGGGGTCAGATCCTGCCTGGAAGGACCCTAAGTGGTGTCAAACTACATTAATTCTCTATATCCCAGGATCTAACCCCTGATGTCCTGCTTTAAACTGGGTTATATGAGTCCCCGCTGCCAGATAATCTGGGATAAACAGGAAACCTGGGGTCAGATCCTGGGATATTGGGCCTGCCTGGAAGGGCCCTAAATGGTGTCGAACTCCGTTAATCCTAGTGTAGGCGCGTCCCAGGTGCGTTCAAGTCGGATCAGAATCGCCTCGATACACATCGGCCGAGAGGAGGGGAGTCCCAGCCTCGGGGCCTCATCTATCTGATCAATTCATCACTTCCGACTCAGAACCTGCCGCCGGCTCGGTGGACCAGCGTCTCCGTACAGCGCCCTTCGAGAGGGCTTCACGGGAAGGGGTTCTTCTCATTTCGGGGCGAGAACGCGGCGGCGGGCCCCTCGCCCCGATCAAATAAGATCATCGTGTATCAGGAAAAGAAAACGTCGCAGCGCGGGGACTCACTCGCCCGCCTCTCTCTCTCACACACACACACTCACTCACTCACGCGCACCACGCACAGGCACGCTCCACGCGCCCTTCCAGCCTCTCCTCCCTCTCACACTACCACGCTCACATCTCTTTCTCTCGCCCCGGCTACTGACTGCGGAACCGGCAAGCCCTGCCCTTTTATTGATTCCGCCGCAGAGCATTTTGGGAAATCTGTTAGCTCGCGCTCTCGTGCCCCCTTCTCGCGATGTTTGCAACTTCCAACTTCTGAGGTGGTTTTGTTTGCCTAAGGCTATGTCAACAATAGATGCCTTTGAATTGTGGTGTTGGAGGGAAGTTCTGAGAGTGTCTTGGGCCACCAGAAGATCCAACCAGCCCATACTTCAGGAAATAAAGCCCGACAGCTCATTGGAGGGAAGGATAATAGAGGTCAAGATGAAGTATTTTGGCCACATCATGAGAAGAAAGGAAAGCTTAGAGAAGATAATTATGCAGGGGGAAATGGAAGGAAAAAGGAAGAGGAGCCAACCAAGGGCAAGATGGATGGATGTATCCTAGAAGTGACTGGCTTGACCTTGAAGGAGCTGGGGGTGGTGACGGCCGACAGGGAGCTCTGGCGTGGGCTGGTCCATGAGGTCATGAAGAGTCGGAAGCGACTAAATGAATGAACTACAAACATGTCAACCATAATGATATCAGTTTGATGTCTTAACTGCCAGGACTCAATGCTATGGAATCCTGGGAGCTGTAGCTTTGTGAGGTATCCAGCACTATTTCATAGAATCAGAGTTGGAAGAGATCTCGTGGGCCAACTCCCTGCCAAGAAGCAGGAAAATCACATTCAAAGCACTCCTTCTTTTTGACAGAGAAGGCTAAAGACCTTGTGAAACTAAAACTCCCAGGACTCCATAACCTTGAGCCATGGCAGTTAACGTGATGTCAAGCTGTCTTAACTCCACAATTTATCCCAAGGCTGTGTCCACAATAGAGAATTGTAACACTTTTTGACACCACATTAACTGTCATGGCTCAATAATATGGATTTCTGGGATTAGTATGAGATATTTACCCTTCTCTGAAAGAGAACAAACTACAAGTCCCAAGATTCTAGAGCAGGCAGTCCAAAACACATGGAGAGCCCAAGTTTGTCCATGCCTGTTCTAGAGGATGGCAGTTATGGCAGTTAACGTGGTGCCAAACTGTTGTAATTCTGCCTTGTGGACGGGAGGTTGGATTTCTGGGTTGGTTCTAAGAACCCATTTTGTGCAGACTTTCTGGAAGAAAAAAGGAGGAGGTAGAGAACGAAATAACTCTTCTGTCAATCCTGCATCAGCCACCACAACTGGGATGTTTAGAGCAGATACTTTGTGAAACTCCTGTTTGGAAAAGTTCATTAAATTAGTTGTGGAATCACAGTTAAATGTTTTGGAAATATAAGTAATATAATTGAAGTGAGCCACTGGTTGTCTTCCCCATTCTCATACTCAGAACTACTCTTCCTTCAGCTCCTTTTGCAGCCCTCCAAATCTAAAACTACCCAAAGGAGGAAATACATTTTAGAAACAAGGCAAAATCTGTGATAAACTATGGGAAATATTCAGAGAATAGCATGATGACTTATCTTTGGTAAATTCGACATGGTTGGAAGTGATAGGTGTAACTCATAGTGATCTTTCCTCTGTATAAAACATTGCATCTCGCAATTTTGGCTGAAAGTCCAAACTAGCCTCAGCTCCATCTCTGATTAGCAATGTTAGCTTTGAGTTTTCAAACCTTTCCACCACAACTCTGCCAAAATCAACTATATCATAGTACTCCGTAAGCAAAATCGCAACAAATAAATCAATGTTGGAGAATAAACCTAGTTTTTGCTGCTGCCATGCCTTCTAATCACCTTCATGTTCAAATTTATTCTTTCTCTCTGCTACTTTCCATGGTATTCACTCGCTTCCAAGTGGGAGAATAGAATGAAAACATGGTGTTTTACATCCAGATTCAAAGAAGTTCAGCTAGCAATCCATTCCCTTGTTTTTCCTGTTTGATTTTTAAAATCTCAATTTTGCATTTATAGATAAATAAGCGAACCCAGCTTTGGGGTTAGTTTGTCCCTTTTAAGACTTTACAAAAGCAACTAAATGCATATCTACTTAAAAGTTGCAATGAATTTAATGACCTCTGGGGAAAGTAAGCAATGCTGGGGCTTTGTACTCCATTTGGAAGATGTTTACTACCCCATACCCCCAAGGCCCATTTTTACAAATGACCAGACTATGTCGTATGTTATTTATTATGTTAACTACTTAACATAATAAATTTGTCACTGTTTAAGGTGATAAAAGGTTGTTACTTACTTCTAATTTGTATGTATTACATTGGTATCTAACCACAGGATTTCCAGAAAAGGAGTAACTGAATCACTCATCAACAAAGATACTCCATACGCATAAATACGCACCTTTGTATGCACATTCACTCCAAATAAATAAGTCTTAAGCTGCTTTAAAATAAATCCAGTCACCTCTACTGAAGAATTGTCACAGTAGATCACATTATAGTTATACTCCATATGGGAAAAGTAGTTTGACAAGATTATCTTGGATCCAAATATTTTTTAAAAAAAACACGGACTCAAACCACCTAACTGAAATACAATTTTGTCATCTCACCACACACACCAGTGCAAAATTTGACATTGTACTGTGTGATTAAATGCATGGCATTTTATTTTGTTTAACAATTAAGTCTACATTTCTTCAACCTGGTGCCCTCTGGGTATTTTGGATTTAACACTTCTAACTAGGCCTGTGCGGTTTCGTTAATTTCGTAATTCGTAAAATATTCGTTAATTTTTGCATTTACGGTACGATAACAAAACATATTTTCAAACCCGGAAGGGTTTTTAAATATTGAAACGTCAACTCCCACAGTATTAACGAGCTTTCGCCCGTTTCGTAAATGGGGCGGGCGGGGCGAAGGGGCGGCGCGAGCGCGCACCCAGTGAGCCAAGCCCCGCCCCTGCCTGTTGGGCGCGAGCGCGGCTCCCGATTGGCCGGCCCGCGCGCGCTCACCCTTACAACCGGCCTCCGCGCGCCATCCAATCGGCTCCGGCTCCTGCGCCCTCCTCCTCCTCTCCTCCTGGCACTTCCTGCAACACAGCTGGGAGAGGCGCCTAAAGAGACAACCGGCCTCCGCGCGCTCACCCTTAGGGAGCCAGGCTCGGCTCCTGCGCCCTCCTCCTCCTCCTCCTCCTCCTGGCACTTCCTGCAACACAGCTGGGAGAGGCGCCTTAAAGAGACAACCGGCCCGCGCGCTCGCCCTTAGGGAGCCAAGCCTTGTTCCTGCCTGTTGGGCGCGAGCTTGGCTCCCTAAGGGTGAGCGCGCGGAGGCCGGTTGTCTCTTTAAGGCGCCTCTCCCAGCCGTGTTGCAGGAAGTGCCAGAGGAGGAGGAGGAGGGCGCAGGAGCCGGAGCCGATTGGATGGCGCGCGGAGGCCGGTTGTCTCTTTAAGGCGCCTCTCTCTGTTGCTGCAGGAAGTGCCAGGAGGAGGAGGAGGAGGAGGAGGAGGAGGGCGCAGGAGCCGGAGCCGGAGCGCAGGAGCCGGGGAGGGGATTCCTGCAGCGCCGGCTCTGCCTCCGTGGCCCGCCTGAGATGAGACCAGACCATCTATTGAATTTGCCACAAATTGAAGGCTGCATCCAGGCTCTTTTGCTGTGAGTTTTCAGGGCTGTATGACCATGTTCCAGAAGCATTCTCTCCTGACATTTTGCCCACATCTATGGCAGGCATCCTCAGAGGTCTGTTGGAAACTAGGCAAATGGAGTTTATATCTATGGAATGTCCAGGGTGGGAGAAATGAAAGCCATTCAATGCTAATAATCAAGGTGACCAACTGCAACATTCACACTTACAAAATGTTTTGTAAATATTTACGAAATTTCGTAAATAACAAAACTTTTTTTTGGAAAGTTTTGTAAATATTTTAAATATCGAAACAAAAAAACACCCCAATTACAAATCGATTTTAGAAACAATTTTTTTCTTGATCAAACAGGCCTACTTCTAACAATTCATCACCTCTGTTAATAATAACTATAGTTCTAAAGATAAGGAGGATGGCACAATGAGGAAGACTACTCTTGTCAGTCCAAGACTTCCTACTGCTTTGGATTTGAGGATTTGCTTGCAGTATATTTATAGACTATTTACTGCAGAAGCCTTGGACAGAGATGATAACACATAAAACATAAAGTACTGTCAATGTACTAGGTAGAGAGAATCAAAAACTCAGTGGGGTTGGGCGGTTTACAGCCATTTCAATCACTGGGCAATTATCTGTACCACTGTGCCATGGAAAAATATTTAGCTTGCACTGGGCATTGCATCCCTCCTTACTTAAGTGTCTATCTAATACAACCACTTGTGTAACTAACTACCAGTTATTCCAATGTTAACATCTGAAGATTCTTGACTACCCATAGCCAAATAACTGGTTGGTATTCTTGGCCTGAATTCAACAGTGGTATTCTGCTAACAAAGCTTGCTGCACTAGTAGTAGTGCATTTTCAGAATTAGCACAAAGGTGCTTACCAGTCATTTTTTGTTGCATAAGCAACAGTGAACACAAATGTGTAATCCAGGGCAAATAGGCTCTCAGGGATTTTTACTCTGCTAGCAGTATGTTGGATTTAGGCCCTAGTTTCCTATCCCCAGATTGTCTGTATGAATTAAGCAGCAACATGTAATGCATTATCAGGACTACTGCAGAGTTATATGTAAATTATTACTGATCACAAACTAGAACCAGGATGTTCTTCTCTATGAAAATGAAAAGTTCAATGTTTTAATCCCTGTAATTGTCTAGCTATGGGCCACTTTCCTGTTTAACAAAATATTTTTAGAAGGTTATTTATTTATTTATTTAGTATCAAAGGCATTGCATAAATTAGTATAAAAATGATAAAAATAGAAGGAGTGCAGGGGGCTAAATATCTTTTGACCAGAAACGGGCAGCATTGTCTGTAGCCTCCAACAATTCTTCCTCTATATATGAGGCTGGGTATAGTGGACAAGCATACAGATGCGGAGTTGTCTGTTCTGCTCCGCAGTCACACAAGGTGTGAAATTCTTTTAGGTAGTGCCTTTTTGCCGGGTGGTCTTTTGATCTGCCCACTCCACTTCTGAGTCTGTTCAGGGACTTCCAAGTTGTCCATTCTTGGTTTGCCCCTGGAGGAAGACCCTCGTGGGAGGCCATCCAGTTGGGATTTCCTGGTTGAGCTGCCCAGAGGGATTCCCTTGCTGTTGCTGAGGGGATGCCAAGAGGAGTGAAATAACCATAAACTACTAAGCTATCTCAGAAATGTTTTTGATAGGAACATAGTCACTTCTTGAGACCATTTTATCTGCTCTGTTTTGCAGTTAAATTAGCAAAGATTAAAAATTACAAAATTATACTTACCTTGAAAAGTTGGTACAAAGATGTCACTCTGAATCAAACATATTTCTAACCACAACTGAAATGTTTTATGAAACTGAACCTCTACTTTTCCATTTCCCTAGAATCTGAGAGTTGATAAGACCCATTTTTATTCCTTCAGATCCCAGCTAGCATGTATAATAAAAAAAATTAAAGGAAGAAACTATTCCAATGTGTATTAAATATGAAGTATGGGAAAGAACAATAAGGCAGATTTATTCATACACATATTGCTGGAATACCAGAGGCCAAGATAGGACTTGAATGTGATAGATTTCTGTCTGAAAAAAAATGTACAAAGTTGGGAAAAAACAAAACTTTTTTCAGATTTAACCAGCATTATACAAATAATGGAATTTTTGTTGTTAAAAGATTAGGTCTCAACTCTGAAACCACTTTGGAGTTTGTATAATTTTCATCAACATAAACTTCAAATATACAAGTTAAACATGCTTTTAATGTAGGAGATTTACCTCCAACACTTGAAGCACAAAGTAACAGAAAAGGACCATTCAAATTAAAATGTGGAATAAAGAGAATAACTGTATAATTAAAAATAAAGAACATAAACACAAATCTTCACTTTTAAAGTCTGTACACTTTCCAAAATATACATGTTTGGATCTTTCAATGTGATTTAAACATTTCAACATCTATTAACATAATGTAACAGCGTATGTCCTCATTGCTTTCTCCTTCTACATTGACAGCCAGAAACTGGCTGTGTTTATGTTGTTGGCAATTTTTAATTTTGGGCTAGGATTTTCGGAATGTGAAGCATTTCAGGACTCTAGCTATCTGTAAAAGGTAGCAAGACTGTTAATTATTCCAAGGCAGATGTGAATAGATCACAAAATATCAATTTCTTTCATTTGTGGTGCAGATGTTGTCTTTGTTCAAGAATACAGAGCACATAAGCACTTTTCCAAAGAATGCAAGAAATTTACGACTAGCTAGATTTCCATATAGTTTTCCAATAATTCATTTTTATCATAGCTTTATCCCCAATCTTAAAACTGCATTAATCAAGGAGGAAAAGAAATAAAAGCAAACCTCTATCTTCCCTCACTGTTAAATTTTGGATATTTAGAGCAATTCCCTTTAGAACACCAGACAGGAAAACGTTTGCACTTTCTAATTCTGCCAGACCTTGGAGAAAGCCTTTCCATTTCTATTTGCCAGCAATAATTCACCTTACCCATTTCTATTTACCACAAACCTATGATGTTTACTTTCTGCAGACTGTAACACTGATTTTAATAATCTGCACATGAAACAGTATTTGTTGACATTCAAGCTCTACTAGAAGCACAGAGGGTGGTTGTTATTACCAAAACTACTCCCTTGGTCTGAAAGATGGCTTGGCCATAGGAGAATATCCTCTTGACATCTGTGTAAGGTTCTGTGTACGTTCCTCTAAGAGATAATGTCCTCTGAAGCCAGAGAGATAGGCCTTCTATAGCATCATTGTTCAAACAGCACTGTCCATCCGATGAGATGGGATTCATTTTATGAAAAGGACATAAAAAGCCATGACAATGCAGGACATTGCTACTACTGCATGGAGTCTTGTACCAATCACCGCCGCTGTAAAATCAAAAGATATTTGGCATTTATAACAGTACAGAGTATATGTTACTTGCTTCAATTGTTGTGAGAATTTGGCAAGTTCTATTTTATTGCTACAAACACTAAAAGCACAGTCCAGCTTTATGGCCCTTTAGTCGTGGCCCTGGTCTGCAAGGCATGAGCAGTAGATGACCAGAATTCTTGAAAGTCTCTCGTTGATGGGGTTTGCCCTAATCCCAAACTGACTTTACAGCAAATAACAACAAACTATTCTTCCACTTCAACAAACGGCCATGGCTCAGGGCTATGCAATAATTGGAGTTGAAGTTTTATGCAGTCTTTAGTTTCCTCTGCCAGTACCTCACCAAACTACAACTCCCAGGATTCAATAGCATTGTTCTGTGGCAGTTAAAGTGGGGGCAAACTGTGTTCATTCTACAGTAAAGATGTACCCTTAAGTTGTGTCATTTGACACATCACAAAATCCCCAAATAGAACCCACTACCAGGTGAAGACTTTTATAACACACAAAAGAATTCTCAAGCCTGACCTCCTGCTGCTATAAATCTTTTCACAACTTCCTGGGAAGGTGCCACATAATCTTCCCTCCTTCAAGCTGCTCAAAGGTGCATATCCACTGTAGAATTAATGCAGTTTGATAACACTGTATAAATTAAGGAGCTGGGTACATTTAGCTTGGAGAAAAGAAGGCTGAGAGAAGGGGACATGATAGCCACATTTAAATATTTGAAGGGATGTTACATTAAGCAAGGGGTTTCCTCCTACTCTGGAGACTAGGACATAGTGGATCAAAGGGGATTCTACATAAACATTAGGATACAATATATTATGTTTTTAATGTTATTGTGTTTTAATTGGTTTGACTCCTTGCACTTATTATGTTTACTTAGTTTAACCCTCAGTTTTGGTTGTTATATTTTATATTGAATTTATTTTATTTCATGTTTGCCTTGCCTTGACTGTTGTTTATTTGTTATCTGTTTTTGGGCATTGAATGCTTGCTGTTTTTGTTATTTTTGCAAATTGTCCTGAGTCCCTTCAGGGAGAGAAGAGGGCAGGCTGTAAATAAATTTATTATTATTATTATTATTATTATTACAATAATAATAACCTTCGCTTATCCAATGTTCTGTATTATCCAACGCAATCCAGGGTGGGAGAAAGAAAGAACCCTTGTCTGCTTTGGTGCTGAATTCGTAAATACAGTAATTACTACATAACATTATAGTGATTTGAACTGCTTTTTCTGTCAATTTGCTGTAAAACATGATGGTTTTGGTACTTATTTTGTAAAATCATAACATAATCATAATTTGATATTTAATAGGCTTTTCCTTAATCCCTCCTTATCATCCAACATTTTCACTTATCCAATGTTCTGCTGACCTTTTTATGTTGGATAATTGAGACTACTGTATTAGAACTTCCTGAAGGTAAGCGTTGTTTGGCAGTACATATGCTGCCTTCTCAGAGCGTGATGGAGTCTCTTTCTTTGGAGGTTTTAAAGCAGAAGTTGGGTGAATATCTGTTGGGAATTGTGTGTTCCTACATGGCAAAATGGAACTGGACTGGATGGCCCTTGGGGTCTCTTCCAACTCTGGGATTCTAAAACAGCTCATAGAATCACAGAATAACCCGGCTACCTTCGTGACCGCATCTCCTACTACCAACCTGCATGATCCCTTTGATCTTCTGGGGAGGCCCTCCTTTCACCCCTTCCTCTATCTCAGGCACGACTTGTGGGAACAAGGGAGAAAGCCTTGGAACTCACTACCTGGTGAGATTAGGCAAGCCCCCACCCTAGCAGCCTTTAAGAAAGGTCTAAAAGCATGGCTCTTTTGTTGTGCCTTTGGAGAGTGACCATCCATCCCATTTCTATCTGTTCCATTTACAGTGTTGTCCTTATGATTCACTTTCTCCCGTCCTAAATTGAAGGCCTAACTGTACTGTTTGTTCTTTTTGGGCTCCTCTCAAATACACTTTATCTACTCCTACCTCATCCAGGGTTTTATCATTTTATCTTGTCCATTTGGCCTGCCCATTGTGTTCGATTTCCTATTATACTATTTTGCTTTGTTTATTTTATTTTGCCACTGTGTGTACTTCATTGTGATGTAATTTTTGTTGTTGTATTTTGCACTTTATTTTGCTGTATTGTATCTTTGGCCTTGGTCTCATGTTAGCCACCCCGAGTCCCCTTCGAGGAGATGGTGGCAGGGTATAAATAAAGATTATTATTATTATTATTTTACTGATACAAAAGCACAGCAAACAAGATCTATATGCTGGATTTCGTATCACAAAATCACAAGTCGAACACTTCCCAAGCGTCTAGGAATGTGTGATGTTTAGCCTGAAGAAGAGAAGGCTGAGAGGAGATATGATAGCCATGTATAAATATATGAAAGGAAGCCACAGGGAGAAGGGAGCAAACTTATTTTCTGCTTCCTTGGAGACTAGGACGCGGAACAATGGCTTCAAACTTCAAGAGAGGAGATTCCATCTGAACATGAGGAAGAACTTCCTGACTGTGAGAGCCGTTCAGCAGTGGAACTCTCTGCCCCGGAGTGTGGTGGAGGCTCCTTCTTTGGAAGCTTTTAAACAGAGGCTGGATGGCCATCTGTCAGGGGTGATTTGAATGCAATATTCCTGCTTCTTGGCAGGGGGTTGGACTGGATGGCCCATGAGGTCTCTTCCAACTCTTTGGTTCTATGATTCTATGATGCATTATTATTATTATTATTATTATTATTATTATTATTAGAGTTGGAAGAGACCACATGAGCCATCAAGTCCAACCTCCTGCCATGCAGGACAAACACAAATACCCAGTGCTCAGTGCTATGGAACCATAGGAGTGGCAGTTTTACAAGGCCTGTAGCCTTCTCTGTGCCTCGCCAAGCTACAACTCCCAGGATCCCATAGCATTGAGCCATGGCAGTTGAAGTGGAGTCGAACGTCCAACCAACCGTTCCTTGCCCCGCTTCGGGCCTTACCTTTGTAGAAGACCCCCCAGACGCCCCTCTTCTCGGAGAGCAGCCAAGCTTTCAGCCGGGGCACCTTCCGGAAATAGGCGCAGGTGCATATGAAGAGCAACCCGAAGACCAAGAGCCCGTCCAGGGAGTACACTGCGGGGGAAAGAGAGCGTCACTGCCAGCTGTGGCCTCGGAGGAGCGCCTCTCCCTTTGGGGTGGCAAGGGAGGCGTCTCTGGGGCCAAGGGGAGCTGTCAGGAGGAGGCCGCTGGCCCAAGCCCACGCCAGAGAGACCAGCCAAAGCCAGGAAACCCCTCCTGATCTCCCCCCGCCCCCAGTCCCGCTCTAAGGCTCACCATTCGCCATGACGGCAACCCGCAAGGCCCAGATCAGCTCCGCCGTCTCCGCATCGCCCAGAATGGACAGCCAGCGCGGCACCGGAACCGCCAGGCAGCGCCAATCGAGCGCCGATGCAAAGAGGGTGTTGTCCTTCCCTCGCCTTGGTCTCAGCAGCGATGAGCCAGGCAGAACTAGTCGAAAGCCGAACCGCCGGCTTCTAACTAGAAACTAACTAGACGCGGATGTACTGTCTAGGGCAGTGTTTCTCAACCTGGGAGTCAGGACCCCTGAGGGGGTCGTGAGGGGGTGTCAAAGGGGTCGCCAAAGACCATCAGAAAACATAGTATTTCCTGGTGGTCATTGGGATTCTGTGTGGGAAGTTTAACCCAATTCTGTTGTTGGTCGAGTTCAGAATGCTCTTTGATTGTAGGTGAACTATAAATCCCAACAACTACAACTCCCAAATGTCAAGGTCTATTTCCCCCAGACTCTACCAGTGTTCACATTTGGGCATACTGAGTATTCGTGCCAAGTTTGGTCCAGATCCATCATTGCATGAATCCACAGTGCTCCTCTGGATATAGGTGAACTACAACTCCCAAACTCAAGGTCAATGCCCACAAAACCCTTCCAGTGTTTTCTGTTGGTCATGGGAGTTCTTTGTGCCAAGTTCAGTTTAAATCCATCGCTGGTGGAGTTCAGAATGCTTTTTGATTATAGGTGAACTATAAATCCCAGCAACTACAACTCCCAAATTACAAAATCAATCCTCTCCCCCAATCCCACTAGCATTCACATTTGGGCATATTGGGTATTTGTGCTCAATTTATTCCAGTGAATGAAAATATATCCCGCATATCGGATATTTACATTGCGATTTATAACCGTACTAAAATGACTGTTATGAAGTAGCAACAAAAACAATATTATGGTTGGGGGTCACCACAACATATGGAACTGCATTAAGGGGTCACGGCATTAGCAAGGTTGAGAACCACTGGTCTAGGGAGAGGCGCTGACTCTGTAGAACAGTGGTTCTCAACCTGTGGGTCCCAGAAATCCCAGCTAGCTTACCAGCTGTTAGGATTTCTGGGAGCTGAAGGCCAAAACATCTGGGGACCCACAGGTTGAGAACCACTGCTGTGGAAGGAATGCAATTTGACTGCATTCATGGTTCAATCCTTTGGAATCACGGGGATTGTAGTTCGACGAGGTCTTCAGCCTTCTCTGCCTAAGAGGACTGATGCCTCATCAAGATACGACTGCCAGGATCCCATAGCATTTGGGTCAGGGCAATTAAAGTGCGATCAAACTGCATTAAATCTACTGTGCGGGTGCACACAACCCTTGGCTATTGTTCTTATTACATGAATAACACTATGTAACACGAGTTTTGTTCTTGGGTTATAGATGACATTTCCTAATTGGCTCTATTATAAAAAAACATGGGGAAAGTTTTATTAAACTGCAAAATCTTTGTGTTGTCGAAGGCTTTCATGGCCAGAATCACTGGGTTGTTGTAGGTTATTTCGGGCTATACGGCCATGTTCTAGAGGCATTCTCTCCTGACGTTTCGCCTGCATCTATGGAAAGCATCCTCAGAGGTAATGAGGTCTGTTGGAACTAGGAAAAAGGGTTTGTATATCTGTGGAATGACCAGGGTGGGACAAAGGACTCTTGTCTGTTGGAGCTAGGTGTGAATGTTTCAACTGGCCACAGGCCCGTAGCCAGGATTTCGATTGTTAAGGTGGAAACCAGGAAGACACAAGGGGAATTCCAGATCAAGGAGTGCTGGTGAAAGGTCACCAAGATCATAGTGGTGATTTCATGGCTCCAATAATAATTCATAGAATAATAAAACATAAAATATTAAAACATACACATAAGGGATCCTGGTATCACCGTATTTGCGGATACCGGGGGCATCTGGTGCTCCAGATGCTGGGGTCTTTGGGGTATGGAAGTTGATCCAGGGTTGGGGCATGTCAAAGGGGCAGGGGAAATGGGGAAAAGAGGGTAGAGAAGCCCCGCTTGGGACTGAGGGGCTGCATAGTAATTGGGGCAGGCTATGAAAGCAAAAAAGAAAGAAAAAAGGAGACAATGAAGGCTAAGTGAAGCATGTATGAGGGCAAAAGGGGTGTCTGTTTATTAAAGGGGTTATTTTGTAATTCTTAAAGGGGGCTTGCAGACAATGTATCCTCTGGTGCTGGTGACTGCTACAAGTCTTTCTTCAGCAAACCACCGAAAGAGTCGAAGCTCTAGTCAGCGATCTCCCACCGTTGTCCAAATGAAGACTTTGCTGAAGGAAGGGGGGAGGTGTTCTTGGCTCGACATCAACTTTATGATTGATTTTTATGTTAGCATGCATTTTGGTAAATATAAACCCACTTTTTCAAATGCAATACCACATAGTATTCAGGCCTCCGGTATAAAACAAATTCATATAGCTGTGGGAATGAGATAAATTTATTAAGATCCAGAAAGATGCAAATCATGTCCCTTATCCTAAATTTTCAAAGGACTGGGTGGGGCAATATAGGATTTTCAGATCTTTACAGTGGTTAGCAAATATTGATGTGTGAAAGCATGCTCCAGATCGGACACTGTATACAGTGGGTTTGTCGAATTCATTATTTGTTTGACCACATTTTATATTAAATGGCAAATGTTGGTCCATTTAAATGTATCCTGTAGATAGACATGGCTTTGGGCTGGACCAAAATCAGTTGTACCTGAGAGAGAAACATCCTCCCAGATATGACAGTGTTATTTTTTTTTTGTGAGCCACAGCTTCTTTTAGTGTGCAGAACTTTTTTTCTTTAATGATTATTACCATCTTTATCAGCTGTTTATTTCTAATTTTGAAAACTGGTTTCACAGAATAGCAAAACTATGTCTTTATCTTGAAGTGGACACTTTCCTGAGTATGGCAATATGTGGTGTGGGATAATTAGGATATGTTTTAGGGATTTGGAGGATTTGGGATATTAACACCTTGTGTTTTGATTTATCTGATGAGTTTAGTGGTGTTACAGAAATGAGGGACAGGGAATAAGTAACTGTCTTCAACCTTGTGAGCCAGTGAGGAATGTATAGGTGCCATCTGGTTGCAAAGTAAGAGTGGGGGTGGGGAGAAATAGCAAACCACTGGAATCAAAACAAGATAAAGCCCTTAGACTTACAGTGTGATCATCATATTTAAACAGGACTCTGGCAAAGAAGATCGAACCCTCAGTAGAGTAAATTAGGTGGAATTCAATGGAATATCTGACTAAGTTGCTTTTAAATTCTGCATTAAGATTTTTTAGCAATACTTTGTTTTAACTTGTTGCAAACTGCCTTTATGCTAACACATAAAATAACATCTAAAAGAAGCAAATAGCAAGGTAGATAGCATCATATGCATATAAAGCAGAAATCTTTATGTATTTACAAAACAAGGAATTTCAGCAAATTGTGCCTCCAAAACCTGTGATTGGCAACGATAGTTTTTGCAGCATTACAAAGAGAAAGAGAAAATTTATAAATACACAATCTGTCCATTTGCTGAAGAGATACTAGAGGTAATATTAGATTTTGTAATGTGATTTTAGGTTAAATGTTTGGTTTTGAAATATGAAATATATGAGGCTTTTAAAGGCAACTTAATACTTATATTGTGGTAGAATAACAAAGATATACATCTAATTGCTGTTGCTACATGCCTTTATGTCAACCTAGAGTTATGGCCACCCCATCAGAGGATTTTCTTGGCTATTAGATCGGCCCCCTCCTTATTGGCATTCAGGAAGAGAGTGAAGACCTGGCTCTTCGAACAGGCTTTCAACTAAGCAGTACAATTGATTGATTATTGGAATATGGATTAATGGACAACGAGATTGGATGCTGATTCTATTGATGAGACGTGATGGATTGCTGTTTTCCTGTATTGTTGTATTGATGTTCTGATGTTAATTAATGGATATTACTGTTTTAAATGATTAATGATTTTGTATTGTATTGCTGATACTGGTTGTTAACCACTCTGAGTCGCCTGATGGCTGAGAAGAGCGGTATACAAGTGAAGCAAATAAATAAATAAATAAATAAATAAATTTATTCATAGGTAGTTTGCCATTGCCTTCCTCTATGGCTGGGAGAGTGTGATTTGCTCTAAGTCTTCCAACAGGTTTACATGGCTGAGCAGAAATTCAACCTCATTCCTAGTCTGACACTCAAAATATGACCTATGCTGACTTCCCAACAAAAATAATCCCTCTGAAGCAAATGGAACATGGTATGTCAAAATATGTGGAAGTTACATTGATTAAATAGTTGTCTCTCAGAAGCTAAGCAGGACCAGTCCTAGTCAGTACTTGCATGGGAGAACCACCAGGGATTGCCAGGCATAGTAGGGTGTGTTTCAGAGGAAGGTAATGACAAACCACCTCTATTCATTGCTTAAGACAATCCTATGAAGTGTATGGGGTCACAATCAGTTATAGGTATAGGTAACTTAAAAGTTGATAAACTCAACTTGCTTCCCACGTCATTTCCCTTTGCTACTCCTCCCCCCTCCCTCCAAATTTTGGGAGCATTGGTGGTTTCCATGGATATTCTTTCCCCATCATTTGTGTATGGTCTCCTTGTGTGTTTCCCCTGTATCTTTCCTGGCAGCACAAATATTGAATGTACTAACTGTTTGGCCAGTCTAGCAATACATTGACTGAATTGATATATAGAATTTCCTTGTTAACATGGCAGCTGAAATCAGTTTTACTTGATGTGTAGTAATCCACAGGCCTGCTAAACCCTGTGTCATCCTAAGAAGTGTTGTCAGAGCATCAGACTCAGAGAATGACATTCCCTGCTTAATCAGCCCAAGGTTCTTAAAGGAACAGGTCACATGACACTTGTCTTTCTCTATCTCTCTGCCACTGCTCCCCTTCTAACTACACACTCAGGGATTAGTCTAAGGGCTTTAATAGGTTTTGTGAAGAGCCTGCTAAAAGAAGCAGGGTCTGTCCACAATCACATTACTGTCTCTTCTGCAAAGAAAAACAGATGGGCAAACTTGGTTAATCATGACAAAGCATACAAATCTGCGGCAAAAGTGTGCTAAAAATATTAGGATCCCAGTGTTACACTACTCTAGCAGACTGGATGACTTGTAAAGTACTTCAGAAGACAACATTTTACTGCTTGAAAGGAAAAGAAATCAGAGAAAAACAGAGAGGGGAAGAGGAAGGCTCCCTCCAGATCAAGGCCATGGGGGCCTCCCAGTCAAAACGGGTGAGTAGCTTTCCTCTTGATGATCTGTCAGAAAGGATGAAGCTTAAAGGACTTGCCACATCTCATGATATGGCAAGATCTCTTTGATCAGCAGAATCTGTTCCTCTGCCTTTGTTGACTGTATACAGAGTCTGCAAGTGCTTCCAGATGAGGTTGTCATTATGTAGTCATTTTGCCTCATTTGCGGCATTTTTATGGGATTGGGAAAATCAATGCTGTCTCTCTGTTTTACTGCCCACCTCTTCCATTTTTCACTGCTCCCCTCAGTTGAGAAGGTAAAGTTGGAGGAATATTAGCTCCAACTCTTTTGGTTGTGATTTCTATGACCCTGGATGAAAAGAGATATGTGACCCTCCTTTCTTGCACCACCCACCTTTCCCCCCTCTTTTTGAAAGCAAGCAAAGATTAGACACACTGGATAGCCATGCCAGGCTATTCACAGCAAGGGTGGCACACACACACACACCCAGCTGATATCTGTACTATGCAAGTGTTATGGCATCGCCTACGCATGAGGAAATCATGTGTCTAGTTTCTCAAGGGTGCAAAGAAGTGAACAGTTGATCATGTACTGAGTATAGCCATGTGATGTCATTTAAGAGCTGAGTATTAACCTTCTTGCAACAGTGAACTCTCTACCTCACAGTGCTATTGTGCTATAAAAAGTAATTGATATTTTTACAGGTGGAAGAAGCAAACAGTTCTTGCACTCACACAAAACTGTGCCCTGATAAACTCTTAAATGTGCAGTCTTGCTGTCATGACTGGTCTATATTTTCACTCTTTCACTGATCCAGTGCACATAACCCTTCCTCCCTACATCCTCTCAATAGGAGCCCAAGCACAGCTGAAGTCCAAAGGATTCACGAATGCCTGTCTAAAAAGCACTGGGCTTGTTGACACCACAGATGAAACAGAATGAAGCTTTGCCTTCCACAGCCCCATCTCATTTGTTTAGTTGCAGAGAAAAGCAATACTAATCAACATTTCAAATCCAATCAAGGAAGAGGGGGGAAAGCTCAGAGTGAAAGGCGGAAGAGATGCTGGCAAAACCACATTAGTGTTCCTGACCCTCCCAAGACCAATGCTGAAATAATTGTCTTGGGAAAAACAACATCATATGAGAAAAGGAAGCAGCTCACTTTACAGGGAGAAATGCTGAAACTCAGCATCCAAGGAAGGCTGAGGGACTAATGAAGTGTCCACAAAGTTTATCTTGTTGCCAAATGAATGATAGCTTCATTCTGCTGCCTCAATACATTCCACAACTAAACATGTATTTTGCTTATGTTCTCTGTATGGTCCTAGCACTGGGCAGAGTGCATAAAGCTCCCACTTGAAGAGGCAGTCGCTATAAGACAGGTGGTGCCTTCCATCTTTTTCAACTAAGGAAGAGGTGTTACTGGCCATTAAGAAAGAATCCTGTGGGAGAAACCAGTGGTATTTTGATTTAAGTGTATAAGGAAGCATCCTATGTGCCTGTACCCATTATCCTATTATTTAAGATAGCATTTGTTTGAATAAGCTGCAAGCAGACATGAAGCACAGCAATGAGTGAGCAAGCAGTGAGAAATATACTCATATGTTAAGGTAGCCTGCTACTCCCTGGTTCCATAATGGATGCTATCCCATTACTAATGTTGAAGTAAGATTCATCTGCCACTTCATTCAGCTTCACTGGGTTGAACAAGGTTTATGTGTGCTCATGCAAGTGCTTGCATGCATGTGCCTGTCTGTCTTTGTCTGTCACATTGTCTTTCAGACCACACAGTTGTTGATGTGTGTTAGAGATCTGGTTTATTCTCAGACCCTACTCATGATAAGGAAGGATTCAGCAGAAATATAGACAGTTCTTGTACTGCTTCAGAGCAGAGTACAAGTTGCTGCATATGCTTGGCTAGAGAGGTCTGGATAAGCATTTGATGGGATGTGACCACTTTTTGGATGAAGTCTGTTACTATATTCGATATTTTAAGTTATGTCCAGCCTTTCCCCAACCACAACCCAAGGGGGCCCACAGCAAATTAAAACAAGGTACACCTAAAGCCTTATAACACCACAGTATTATACCAAAAAACCCTCCACAATGATATTAAAAGCATACTGTTAAAATGATTTAAATTATATTTGGAATATAAACAAAAAGAAAAATGCAGCACACCAAATTAAAAGACATTTCTGCCGCACGTGTTAAGAGTCAGTACATCACTACCTACATAAAATGGTATTTACAATGAGATAGTAAAGATAGACCAACTGCCTCTTCCAAGGGAAGGAGGTACTGTATACTGTTTTCCATGTCTTGTGAAAGGGGGTGTAGTAGAATGATCTTATGATTATAGTGTTGGACTGAATTCAGGGAGAAACACACTGGGAAACCTTGGGCTGGCCATTCTTTCCCAGCCTCTTTGTCTTCACAGAATTGTTGTGAGGATAAAATGGGGATAAGGATAAATATACCACTCTGAGCTTTATTTTTTTTCCACAAGTCTTTATTGAGCATTTTTTAAAAAAAATCAAACAACATGAAAAGAAAAACAACAAAAAAGAGGATATGGGTAGTGGAATTCTTGTTAGCAAATTAAGTCTTTGCAAATGTCTATTATGTTGCCAAGGGAGAGGAAGAGGGCTGGGGTGGGTGGCAGAGGAGAAACGTTGTATTTGTTATAATTATTATATCTATTACTTCATCTCAATTACTATTATACACACTGTCTAAAAGTATTAAAATTCCATATTTTCTCTATAACAAAAAGAGCATACTCCTGTCATCCAATGTTAAAACTGGTAGTCATGTCTTCTTATGTTGTCCCAGGTTCTTCCTGTCTTCTCTTACAGATCTTACCACCTTGAGCTTTCTTCTTGTTGTCATTGGCATTATTGCTTTGCCTGTATCACTGGGGTTAACATAAGAGTCAGGTTAACAATACCACCCAATTGCCCAGCTAGAGCCCTTCTGAAAGACTAGTGAGAGAAAAAATAATTAGAACATCTAATGGGAACTCCAGTCTTCATGTCTAATGCCATCAGCATATTCTTAATCTTGCAATGGTGTCCATGAAAACTTTGGGTATGGGGTAAGCCTATGGATACTGATAACATTACAATATTTTTCTATTATTTTTTTGGATGAGGGACACAACTTCAACCTGACAGACGATGGGCAAATCAGCAGTGGATTAAAGGGAAATCTGCTCAGAGATGGAAAATCTAATCTTCCAAAACTGCACAGAGAGCATGAAGGATCCAGAATAGCCTTATCATTTTGAGACAATCTTACAAATAATCAAGACAAAATAGAAAAAAATCTAGAGTGGGGGTTATATGGTCTGAGCTTGCTTAAATATTATGTGTAATGCTAGTGCTAATCCATCAGCTGCTAGACTGGTGGGAAAGCCTAAGTTGCAAAGAAAGCAAGACCTATGCATGGTAGACACATGAAGGTGTCAGAATATATAGAATATTTAGAATCATACAGACTACAAGGGTGATCCAACCCAACCTTATGCCATACAGTGATACACAATCATATGGCCATCCAGAATCTGTTTTAAAACCTCAAAACAAGGAAACTCCATCACACAGCAAAGCAGTGTATTCATGTGCCAAACATTTCTTACAACCAGGAAGTTCTTCCTAATGTTTAGATGGCATCTTATTTCCTATAATTTAAATCTTTGCTCCACACTGTAGTCTTTGATGTGGCAGAAAACAAGCTTTCTCACTCATTAAATATTTAGACGTGGCCTACACGCCACCACTTAACCTTTTCTTCTCCAAGCGAAACATACCCTAGGCCAATCCTCATAGGGCTTGGCTTCTAGACCAATTTGATAAGTCTAATGCAAAGGTGAGATATTAATAATAATAATAATAATAAATCTTTATTTATAGCCTGCTTTTCTCCCTAAATGTCTTTTAAACTGCAGTTCCCATTCTCATTTACTGGATACTGTTGAACTGTAGTTTCTGTTCTCCTCTACCAGCATAACTAATAATGAGAGTCATTCATTTTGATGTTCAAATGGAACATCTCTATGCCACGTTAGACCAAATGCTAAAGTTAGTGTATTGGGGAGACACAAAAGAGAGAGGAAATTAGAATTCAAACTCTGGAATGTGTCTGGGATTAAGATTGCCTGTCTTTAGAGACTGGGTTTTGGTGTTGCGTGTGCAGGCTCTGTATTTGTAAATTTACTAGCATTTTGCAAGACTATACTCTTTCTGTGACTTCTTTTCAGTAAAATAACAGCAGGCAATATTCAGGGACCTTGGAACCTTTTACCACTCAGAGAATTGGGCGAATCATGTAATTTGGATACTATTTATTCACTGCTTTCTTGAAAAGCTATTTTCTTCCCTAATTTCATCTTTTCTGTGTTAGGGTGAATACAGAACCCACAAGAGCAACCGGAGCCCAGGTAAGAATACACTGCACAACTATACCCTGCACTGAATCCAACACAATTTCATAACAACCCACGATTGCATGAAGGCCTCGTGGGCCATCCAATCCAACCCTCCGCCAAGAAGCAGGAAAATCCCATTCAAAGCACCCCCAACAGATGGCCATCCAGCCTCTGCTTAAAAACCTCCAAAGGAGGAGCCTCCACCACACTCTGGGGCAGAGAGTTCCACTGCTGAACATCTCTCACAGTCCGGAAGTTCTTCCTAATGTTCAGGTGGAATCTCCTTTCCTGTCGTTTGAAGCCATTGTTCCAGGTCCTAGTCTCCAGGGCAGCAGAAAACAAGCTTGCTTCCTCCTTCCTATGACTTCCCTTCACATATTTATAAATGGCCCTCATCATGTCTCCTCTCAGCCTTCTTTTTTGCAGGCTTAATACGCCCAGCTCTTTAAGCTGCTCCTCATAGGGCTTGTTCTCCATAACCTTGATCATTTTACTTGAATGGATATTGGCAACCTCATGTCTTAATAACAAAGAAAATGTATTTTCCTTCTTTATATTTTATTGATTATATTTACATCAGCTTTACATTAACTTACACATGATAGGTTAGACCAGAGTTTCTCAAACTCTGCTCCTCCAGATGTTTTGGACTTCAGCTCCCACAGTTCCTAACAGCTGGTAAACTGGCAGGGATTTTTGAGACCTGAAGTTCAAAACACCCAGAAGACCACACTTTGAGAAACACTCGGTTAGACAGATGATGGTCTTAAGTCACCCATTGACTGAAAAGAGATTTGAAGGTCATTCATTCTTGTCTGTTCACCACAACATGTCACCTTAGGGTCACCATAAGGCAGAAACAATTTGAAAACACAACAGCAGTTGTAACAACAAGGAACTTTAGTTATTTTCTACATTCTGCTTTACTGCTTTCTGTTGTTTTATCCATGCTATTGGTTTTACCTTTTTAATTTTACTTGTTTTATTATTGGGATTTGATTGCATTTATAATTTATACACTGCTGGTAACTGAGAAAAAAATAAAATATTAATCAAATTAATTCATGAATAGTTGCCCTAATTATAAATATGTCCAAACACATAATTTATGTTGTATTTTTTAATGAAACCAAGAATGTTTCTCAATAGTTCTACACTTAAACAATTTTATAAACTGCAATGCCCTCGTGTAATGAAAATGACAGTAAGTGTCAGGGATTTCAAGTTCCCAACATGTTTTGTGGGTGGAATTTCTGGTTTCACCACGTGGGGGCGCATTAATATAATAATTAACAGAGGACGTGATACAAGGTCTCTTGATGGACCATTTGTGTGACTGACCTTCTATGGCAGCTGAATTCCGAAGAAAATCTCAAAACCAGAAAACCAATCAAGATTTCCCTGCATGGCAATTGCTGTGGGCTGAATCAAGTCATTCAGTATTGCTCAGGCATTAAGCAATAAGCCTTTCCATCTCCAGAAACAGTTTGATAACTCTCCCCAGTTTGATACTGGAAAAATCTAGGACCACGGAGAAGCTCTGCAATGGAACTTTCTAGGCACTGAACCTAAGAAAGCAGAATGAGCAGAATGAGGACCTCTAAGGAATTTTCCAGCGGCTACAAAACCCTGGCTCCTGAGCGACATCGCAGAAGGCCTCTCTTATCACACTATTCTCTTCCAGAAGGAGACAGCAGAAGTTTCGAGCATGGCACCTACCAGGCATCCGAGAGCCACAGAAATTTCATTGAGCCCAAGAAGCTGCCAAACCCAGTGAGGGAGTCTAGGCATCACCGGGAGTTGCACCGAGAGCTGCTCTTCACACAGAGGAGGTAAGTGGGACTTCATTGCACGTTGGCCGTTTAAGGGAGTTGGCACGCTTTTTCTACATGCAACATGAGAGGCAAACACAAGGCAATGATGCAAGGAGACCGCCACTGAATGAAAATGAGACTCTGGTATCTATAACTAGATAGGACAAAATGGAAACAGTTGTGGCCTTGTGCTTTTGGGTTGCTTTGGTGTATTTCTCGACCTATAGTCATTCTGAGAAAATGGCAATTCCCAGAACTCTGTACCAGCAGGCATGATCTTGGCATACCGTTTTTGGTTGCAAGACTTGCATGATACAAAGGATTTTGACTGAGAAAGATAAAAAATGAGAGGAGCATCTTGTTATTATTGTTATTTTTTATACCCCGCTTTTTCTCTCCATAAGGAGACTCAAAAGCATTTACATTAATAGCATTTCAGTACAATTTTAAATCTGCAAATATATAAACTTTAAAACAGAATTAAACATCAATGGTTTTAAATTCATAGTTAAAATCCATAAAAACACAATCAAAGCTAAAAAAAATCACAGCACCCCCGACTTGATCTTAAAAATCTTCTTTTTTAAAACCCTGACTGAATAAAAAGGTTTTAGTGTGTCACCAGGACAGCAGGGAGGGGGCCACTTTGGCTTCCCTGGGCAGGGAGTTCCAGAGTTGAGGGACAGCCACCGAGAAGGAAGGCCCGTTCCCATCAACTGAGCTTTAGATGGAGGTGGGACAGAGAGAAGGGCCTCTCCTGAAGATCCTCAGGGCTTGGGCAGGTTCATACAAGGAGCTAAAGTCAGCCTGATATTTAGACAATACTGATGTATCAGACTTATCTGGACACAGATTAAGGGGGTTTCATGAAATAGCAGAAACTGAACATATAGATTCCTGGTTATTTTCCAGCAGGCCAGATAACTATCCCAGTTAGGCAGAACCGTCTAAGGAAGCATGAGTTTTTGTGACACATTTGAATTCTGATGCCAGGAGAATCCTGGGTTTTTATACATTCTGGATGATGAAAAAGATTTATGGAAAGATAGAGAAAAAAGCTGAGTTATAGATGTTTTTGTTGGGTGAGTGAGTTTATTAACAAAAGACCTTTCTCATAAACGTATAGCAGAGTAAATTATTAGCAGCAGTATGACCCAGCACCAGTAGCCAAAAGTGATAAAAAGAACAAGAACACATAGACCAATTTTATATCTTCCTCAGGAGGCTTTTCTTTGTAGTAAAATAATATGGTTGCACTATTTACAAGCACAAGGTTTCCATAACACAAATAAAGTTCTTTATACTTCCTTCTTTGCTTCCATTCTGGGCTTCTTTCTTATGCAGATAGAAAGATTGGTTCTTATAGAATCTCTTCTCACACTAAACTTACACAGGAGTTTCACACAGTAGCTTTTTACACACAGCAGCCTTCACACTGGATCTTCCCACATGAAGTCTTCAACCTGGGGCTTCTCGCACCGAAGCTTCTTACACCAGGCCATCCTCACACTGAGGCCTACTCATACTGAGGCCTACTCATACGGGAGCCTTCTCTTACCGAGCCATCTCACACTGAGGCCTCTCTCAGACCTAAGCTTCTTCATACTCAGGGCAACTAATACTGAGGCATACTAAGCTATAGCCACACATACTGAATTGCAGCTTTTGCTAAGTCATTGCATCCATGTAACGCGTTCAGTGCTTGACTCACATTTTTATAATTAAAAATACCTAGTTAATTTTTAATATTTCTAACAGTTTTGACTTAGGTTGTATTGTTGTTTTTGTAGGGGCTTGCTTCCAGAACACAAGCCTGAGCTTCAGCGAGTACTAGAAGCCAGGAGAATGAAGCAACTGAAACAGCAAGAAGAGAATCAAAAGCCTCTGTCAGATCTAGAAGAAGAGCTCAGAAAACGACAGCAGAAACTTGATCAGGTTTGTTCCTTACCATTGCATCATCAGTGCCTTTTGATCTTTCACAGCAACATCAAATTATCTTTTCCATTTCAGAATTTAGCAGTATCTAATCTTATTGCAATAGTAGGTAGTCATCCTCAACAACACTTCCAAATGTAAAGGTTGTTTCTGCAATGATTTGCTTCCCTAGCAAAACACCCATTTGACAATCCTCTAAATTCATTTTTCTTCAAAAACGTTTCCCCTTGACATTAAGACCAGTCGTGTCCGACTCTGGGGGGTTGGTGCTCATCTCCACTTCTAAGCTGAAGAGTTGGCGTTGTCTGTCGATGCCTCCAAGGTCATGTGGCCGGCATGACTGCATTGAGCACTGTCATCTTCCTGCCAAAGCTATACCTATTGATCTATTCACATCTGCATGTTTTTGAATTGCTAGGTTGGCAGAAGCTTGGGCTAACAATAGGAGCTCACCCCACTCACCCCGGATTCGAACCACTGACCTTTCAGTTGGCAAGTTCAGCAGCTCAGCAGTTTAACCCGCTGCGCTACTGGATATATAGATGTGTATATAGTGTACTTGATTATTTCTTACCAGGTCTTTAATAGTATTATTTATTTTAAAGGTGTATGTCACTTTTCAAATGTATAAACAGCTGGGCTCTATATGATATTTATCCTGATTTAAACTATTAAAGCCATAACCTGTTTGGGCACAGTAACCTGAAAGACCTGTCAGAGTTTTTCAGTATGTAATTTCTTAAGTAACAATAAGAAAGTGTAAGTAAGTGTAAGAATCAAGCCCAACCATACTGTAAGCATTAGGAATCGAGCCACCTGGTTAGCCTTGTGTAATTTACAGCCAGTGTGGAGTAGCTGTAAAGGTACTAAAGTAGCACAAAGCTTCTCTATTGTTGAGGGTTGGTGTTGAAGGAGAGTTGCTGTTGGAAAGAAAGCTACAAAGATACAGAAGAATTGGAGAACAAGGCCAGTGAGAGCCTTTTGCAAGTACGAAGGTTTCAACTACCTAGGAGTGTCTGGAAGAAGGGCTGCAGAAGAGTCCCGGTCTTCTGCTATACTGTAAATATTCCTTGTATAAAGCAATATCTACTTAGTAGTAGATTCTACTACATAGACAAGTTGTGTATGTCTGCTTCTTAACCAGAGGGGGAGTGCTTCTGCTGAAAGAGGAGATTTCTGTTGCTTCATACAAACCTCATTAATTTCACTGCAACAAGACCATTATCGTCTGCCATTGGTATCTTCCTGAACCTTAAAAACTCTTTCAGGGGGCAAATAAACAGAGGTAGATGGCTAGCAGGGAGAAGGCCAATTTGCTAGTGACATCCCAGTCATGGAACAGCTCTAACCAAAATATTCACATGGCATCTTTATGGGAGGGGTATCTGTGCTATAAAGACAGTTTTGCTCATTTGAACCTTTTGAACAGGCACATCTTCTAGTGTGAGCTTCTTGTTTTTAAAATCTGTGTTCAGAGCTTATTTTTGTGTTCAGTACCTTTTGTTGTGCTATGATTTAGATTTTGGCTTTTTTTAAAATCATCCAGAGAACTTGTATTATATTGTAGGAGGAGTGGGAAAAATATTCATTATACACTGTTCCCAAAGCAAGCAAGCAAACAAACAGCCAGGTTTTCTGGCAGCCGAGAAGCTCTATGAGGAAAAATAATAGAAAAGCAAGAATTTAGTGTAAGTTTCTCCCAGTTTTTAAACATCCCAAAGTGCTATGTAGAAATTATTATGTGTAGAAAAAGACATGAGCTTTTTAGCACAAAAATACTGTTTTCTGCACATAAAAAACTGTGCTAAAGACCCCGTTTTCTGCACATTTTTTTCAGTTCAGAAAATGAGGTATTTGTGAAATAAAACCATATATTTTTCTATGTTGGATAATTCCTCCACAATACTTTGGGATGTTTGAATATTGGGAAAATATTGCAGAATAATATTAGGCATCTCTGTTTTTAGCCCAGAACAAACAATCAGGTGGCTATTCATGCTGTAAACATTCACTACACACTTCTAGGAAGTCTTTCTTGTTTTTTTGTTTTTTGTTTTTTTTTGGAGTTTCAAAAACAAATATTATTTACAAAGATGTAACAGGGAGCTGGATGAAAACAATGTCTATGAATGACTGGAAACTATGCCTATGTATCAAACCAGTGTTAATGAAATTTGAAATAATGTGATCAGTTGCTTTATGATGGCTTGTTTTATAGAGAGTTTCTGGCATGGGATTTTAGCTTTTGCCACAATGAATGATGAGGCATTGAGATATTTCCCTCTTTCTCCCATTTGTTTGCAGTATGAGCGAGATATGGTTCTGAAGGGGGAGCAGGATGGCAGGCCTGAGTTCATCCTTGTGAAAGAGAGCCTGAAGAAAATTAAACTTTCCAAGGAAACAGACATAAGGCAGACATGAGAGATCAGCTGCAAATGCTGTTTTTGTCAGAATGACTCCTTGACAGAAGTATATGTGAAGGAATTCAAAAATGATCCAAGAGCACTTTCAGTTGTGTGACCACATCAGCAAACTTCCTCTCTATGGCCTGTGAATCTGTGCTTAGGCTAAACCCAGGACAGCAGGATGAAGGCAGAAGAAAGGACTAGCCATCTGATAAATGGAGTACAGATGGAGATTAGCTGTCATTCAGCCTTGTGGGGATGCTTGTTTGAGAATGGATGGGCAAACTTGAACTTGTCCTACAGACTGTTCAACAATGCATTTTATGAAGAAAATATTGGGATTGTTGAATGCATTCCACTTTTAGTAGGTTCCCATTCACTCTAGCTAGAAGAGAAATACTGGTGATAACTTACCTGGTAGCCCCACTATCAACATTTGCAGCAACTTATCATTGATGCTAAGATTGCTGCAGAAGATCATGGTGGGAGAGTTATGCTTGCTACCAGAACAATCTGTTTAGATTTAATTTATATCTTCAGGATTTAACTAAATAGCCTACCTTTTCCCCAAGGATGATTGCAGGACATGGATTTCCCCAACATGTGTTGCTACCATCCACCCTTCACTTTATTTATTGTTGTGTGCCTTCAAGTCATTTCTGACTTATGGTGACTCTAAGTGGAACCTATTGCAGGTTTTCTTTTGGCCAGATTTGTTTAGAGGGGGTTCATCATTGTCCTCTTCTGAGGCTGAGAAAGAGAGATTTGCCCAAGGTCACCCCATGGCTTCTCATGACTGAGAAGGGATTCAAACCCTGGTCTCAAGAGTCATAGTCCAATGTGCAAACCACCATGCTGGCTCTCAGTTTTATTTATATACCATCTTTTTTCCAGATTGGGACTCACGGTGACAGAAAATTGCAACAAAAACTTACACAGTTAAAATATATAAAAGTTGAAATTAAATATTACATAACAGAATGTAAACAATTTTAAATATTATTTTAAAATCAAAGACTAAAACAAAAACATTACAACATCATGGAAACCTTTGCTAGAATGGAAAGATCTTTACCTGGTGTCAAAAAGAAAATACAGAGCTATCCTAGCCTCCCTAGGAAAGAAATTCCGAAGTCTAGGAACAGCCACAGAGAAGATTTTCTCCCACCTTCCAAACAAACATGCCCAGGAAGATGATTGGATATAAAGAAGTGACTCCACTGAAAATCTAAGATGTTTTAAGAGGCTCATATGAGAAGATTCACTCCTTCAGATAGCCTGGACCTTAGCCAGATGCTTACCCACCTTAAGCAGAAGCTAGCAGATTTCAGACTTGAAGAAATTATTTATTTTTAGTAGAAACCTAAGTTCCACCAACCTCATCCTGGTGCCTAGGAATCTGTTTTTAATACCATAATTGGACACAGCTCATACAACATATCTTTTGTTGTTAGCAATTGTATAAGTATTTCAGGGGGTGAAGTCATTTTGATGTTTGTTGCTTGCTATTGTTGAACTACAAGGTGTTTCAAAATTATGGACCCAATGTCAAAGCAGTTTATTTCATGATGTCAACATATTACAGTTACACAAAAAGTTAGTTTAATGAGTTATCGGATTTTACTAACAATTGTGAGCCCAAAACAAAAATAATCCTGCAAATGGGGACTATTTCATTAGGCCTTATGTTGAGGGGTTGCCATCTTGCGAATGACTGAAACTAGGGGCTGTTTGTGAGCTGGGAGAGGCATCGAGTGGTAATCAAACTCTATGCGCCACCCTTTCAAGGGGTAAGTGTTTTATTCTTTGGCAGTTTGTGATTGCAGAGATACAGCAATTTCAAATCAGGTCATGTTTCTGAAACAACTTGATTAATAGTTATGCACCTGTTGTTGTTCTATAGCAAATCATTCACATTTACAGTAACACCTTGGCCCCACTTTGATTATTATACCACTATTAATTCTAGCATGGAGGGGATTTTAAAAGACAAAACTGGGAAAAAGAAAGTGAAGTATATTTTATTACACAAAAACTGCACTGGCAGCCAGTTCAACCCCCTTGTGCATTGCTGTGAGTTTTTTTCTCAGTAGGATTCAATTTTACACAGTTTCCTGTTAATAGATGTTTCAGCAGATCCTGACAGCATCTAAATCCACCTGTCTCTGAAAAGTTCTAATAAAAATTAACATAATAATGGTGTCTAGCATTTTTTGCGCCTTTATTGTTCTTTTAATTTGCTGAGATGCTGTTTACAGTAATTCCTTCTTTAATCTGCCATTACCTTCCTGTTTGAAGCATTCTAAGGCAAGCAAAAGAACATGGTTCTGGCATTCAGAACAATGCTTTTTGCTCCTTTTTAAAATCATACTTTCATACCAAATGACTAAAACGGTAAGCTCAACTAAACTCAGAGGGACTTGTTGACCCTATTTGAGATAAGTAAAGGTAAGTCTACTTGTGTCCAATTCTGGGGGGTGGTGCTCATCTACATTTCTAAGCTGAAGAGCTGCCGTTATCTGTAGACACCTCCAAAGTCATGTGGCCAGCATGACTGCATGGAGCTCTGTTACCTTCCCACTGAAGCAGTACCTATTGATCTACTCACATCTGCATGTTTTCAAACTGCTAGGTTGGCAGAAGCTGGGGCTAACAGAGGGAGCTCACCCTGCTCCGTGGATTTGAACCACTGATTTTTTGGTCAGCAAGTTCAGCTGCTCAATGGTTTAACCTGCTTCACCACTGGAGGGTCCCTCTATTTGGGATAGTGTTGCATTGTTATTTTTAAAAGACTATGCCCAGGTTTCCTGCTGTGTCCATTCTCTACCCATTTCTTCCAGTTAATAATTTTAATAATGATTAAATATTTCAAATTAATTGTATTTATAGTTGTCATTGTAAGTCGCATTGAGTGCCACTGCTGGGGTGTATACATTTTCTCAATAAATAAAACACAATTTAAAATATTTTTAATAGAGAATCATCAAATTAGTAGAGGTTGAAAAAGGTATCCAGTATAATTCCTAATTAATGAATTAGTCACTTATCAGTCGGACTTTACTCACAGAAAAATGAGAAGCATATTTTAATGAGATACTGACTGTTGAGTGTAGAAATAAAATATCCTCAGCAACTGTATTAGTTTCTCTTTGGAAACAGATAGGGAGATTTATTGAACTGGCCAACACTAAGTTGGACAGTGAATTATATGAATAATAAAACATCACCATGGCAATCAGACAAGGGCTGCAGGTAAGAAAATAATACGTTAGTGTAAATAGGCTATGTGGTTCTTTATGTAATGGATTGGATAGCAGAGAAATACGTAGAGTAATTATGAACTCACATTTTGCTGGGATGGAGCAGGGGAGATAATAGATCACAAATAAGCTGGTGGAACATCCACTTTATACAATGTGTATCCAGGAAAGAAAGAAAAAATCATTCTAGCAGTAAATTCAAACTCAACTGAAGCCTGTCCCGTTATTCTGGAAAGGCCATCAGTACTTAATTATCATGAACATGCCAGCAATGCCATATATGCATGGATGAAGCCAAATTCACAGGAAATGGGCATTTACACAACACTCACAGTGACAATAGTTCCTTGACTCCCACCAGCCCCAATAGCTCAGCCAGCAATGCCTTTTTACTTCAGCCAGGAGCCCCCGGTGGCACAGCGGGTTAAACCCTTGTGCCGGCAGGACTGAAGACCGAAAGGTCATAGATTTGAATTCGGGGAGAGCGCGGATGAGCTCCCTCTTTCAGCTCCAGCTCCCTGTGCGGGGACATGAAAGAAGCCTCCCACAAGGATGGTAAAACATCTAAATATCAGAGCATCCCCTAGGCAACGTCCTTGCAGACGGCCAATTCTCTCACACCAGAAGTTACTTGCAGTTTCTCAAGTTGCTCCTGACACGAAAAAAAAAGTGTGTATGCTTTTGCAGAGGCATGGCTTCAGATCCTCTTTCAGTGACGGTTTTCAAACACAACATACAAAGATAGTGAAGAATCCATGCAAATCAGCACAGCAGTTATAACATTTCCTGATGAAGGGGCTTAAATGAAGAACTGACAGTCTTCTTAGGATCAAAATTTATCTAGGATGGATTTTTGTTTTGCCAAGCAAAACAAGTGGGTACACAATAATGGCAACCAGAAACTTGCTGCACCAGTAAATTCTAGAAGACTATTGCATAAATGTTATTTGGACCGACCAACATTTAAATTGCCCACGGTCTCTTCTAGCTTGAATAAAACTACAAACTTTGATTTGTTTAAAATGAAACCAGGCAGTCTCATAGCTTGAGGGTGGAGGGACAAAAAAGAACAGGCACTGAATGCAATATATTTAATCGTTTTTCAAATGATATTATTTAGACAAGGATGCTAAGTAAATAAAGCAGTGGTTCTCAACCTTCCAATAGTCATGATCCCTTAATACAATTCCTCATGTTGTGGTGACCCCCCCCCAACCATAAAATTATTTTTGTCGCTACTTCATAACTCTAATTTTGCTACTGTTATAAATTGTAATGTAAATATCTGATGTATTTTCATTCACTGGACCAAATTTGGTGCAGATACCCAACAACCCCAAAACTGAATACTAGTGGGCTTGGGGGGTGGGGGGTGGGTATGGATTTTATCATTTGGTAGTTGCAGTTGCTGGGATTTATAGTTAACCAACAATCAAAGAGCATTCTGAACTCTACTAACGATGGAATTGAAGACAAACTTGGCACACAGAACTCCCATGACTAATAGAAAATACTGGAAGTATTTGGTGGGCATTGACCTTGAGTTTTGGAGTTGTAGTTCATCTACATCCAGAGAGCACTGAGAAACAATAATGGATCTGAACCACACTTGGCACGAATACTCGGTATGCCCAAATGTGAACACTGGTGGAGTTTGGGGAAAATAGTCATTGCCATTTGGGAGTTGTAATGGCTGGGATTTATAGTTCACCTACAATCAAAGAGCATTCTGAACTCCACCAATGATGGAATTGAAGACAAACATGAAACACAGAACTCCCATGACTAACAGAAAATACTGGAAGTATTTGGTGGGCATTGATCTTGAGTTTTGGAGTTGTAGTTCATCTACATCTGGAGAGAACTGTGAAACAATAATTAATCTGTACCAAACTTGGCACAAATACTCAATATGCCCAAATGTAGTGGAGTTTGGGTAAAACAGACCTTGTTATTTGAGAGTTGTAGTTGCTGGGATTTGTAGTTAACCTACAACCAAAGAACATTCTGAAGTCCACCAACAACGGAATTTAAGACAAACATGAAACACAGAACTCCCATGACTAACAGAAAATACTGGAAGTATTTGGTGGGCATTGATCTTGAGTTTTGGAGTTGTAGTTCACCTACATCCAGAGAGAACTGTGAAACAATAATGGATCTGTACCAAACTTGGCACAAATACTCAATATGTGGTGGAGTTTGGGGAAAATAGACCTTGACATTTGGGAGTTGTTGTTGCTGGGATTTGTAGTTCACCTACAATTAAAGAGCATTCTGAACCCCACCGACGATAGAATTGGGTCAAATTCCCCACACAGAACCTCTATGACCAACAGAATAAGTAAAAATACTGTGTTTTCTGATGGTCTTTGGTGACCCCCCTGACACCTCCTTGTGACCCTCCAAGGGTCCCGACTCCCAGGTTGAGAAACACTGAAATAGACCCTTCCTGCTATCTAGTAATGGAACTCCCTCGGAGACAGAAGGAGGGGGAGCACATGAGCAAAGGTTCTTACATGTAAACCTGCATTGCAATATAATGTCCAGATCCCCTTGAAATATTTTTCTGCTTTGTACACCATAAGACACCCTCCCACCCACCCCCCACCCCACACACACCATTTGATTTTTTTAATGTTTAGTTTTAAAACTATTTGAAATTTTGAAAGGAGGTGTTATCATAACAAAAGAAAAGCAAGTATTTCACCTAAGGAAGATTTTTAAAATGCTCATGGCATAATAAGTCTTCAAAAGCAGACTTCTGATGAACCATAACTAGACAAATACACAGAAAGAAAGGCAAAACTATTTAAGATATTTATCTTGTTTGGAAGTACTAGTCATAACCACAGTGAAACTACTGAGTAACATGAGGTTCCTGAGCTGTCTCTGTATTAGTTGTTTATGGAGTTATATTGCTACAATCTGGTTTCAGGGGGGAAAAAATCACACACCTATTGTTCTCATTCACCATTATTAGAAGCACTCTTCTTGGTAAGTTCAGAAAATCATGAGTCCACTAGAATTTATGTAGGACAGGACAGGAGGCAGGATGAAAACCTGCATCAAATAAGGATGAGGATGCTGTGCACACACATTAGATCATTTTCTGGAACAAAGTTTTCAACCAGCCATTTAGATGTTGAAGCAACAGTTCTTTCTCCTCAAGTAGATGAGATGTGCCTCACAGATCCCCAGCTGCGTATCTCATTATCTGCCATAGTCAATTGTCCAAAATGAACTCTGTAATCTGAAAAGTATGACATGGGCAGGATGATTGGTTGAAGATAAGAATGGATAAGAATGGCATGGGCCTTGATATTGGTGAATGCATATCACAACATCTTTCACATTCTTTATGTTGGTTAAATTATGGTGAAATTGAGAGATACTGATTAATTTTACCAATAGCGAGGGATGGGTGAATCAAAGGGAGGAAGCAGACCAGCAGCAGGATCTATATAGCATCATACGATAAGGACTATCATCAAAGGTGACTGTCCAGCTGCAATGCCCTCTTGCCTGCCTCTTGCAAGTCCTTTCTGTCAACTTTATTGTTATTCAAACAGTTCATGGCTAGTGCCACGAATCAGAATTATATATGCAAAGGCGCTTTCCAGTGTTTCATCTCAGTATCAAAAAGTACATCTACTAAAATGTACATCCCTATGATTTCTCTCTAGCTTATAGTCCCAAGTACAGATAGTCCCTGAGTTCACAACCCCTGAGGGTGCCCTGCCATAGATGCAGGTGAAACATCAGGAGAGAATGCTTCTGGAACATGGCCATACAGCCCGGAAAACACACAACAACCCAGCTATAAAAGTCAGCTTGATGGGCATTTGATTGACTGACTGATTAAATACAACCTTTTATCACAATGTCAGTTCAGCACCCATTGGACCATTCTGTCAATAGTTTAGTTTTGAAAGGACATTATCTGCAAATGAAGCAAATAAAAACCACCTTGGGTTTTGTAAACTACCCTGAATTCCAGAATGAAAAAAGGTGGGAAGATAAGTAAGTAAGTAAGTAGTACTATTCAACAACTACAAGTGATTGTAAACTGCGTCCTAGTCTGAATCATGATCTCAATTTGGAATTTAACTACAACCATGACCCATTGAATGTAACACAAAACCAGTTTAATGACTGTGAATTGCTATTTATTCATCTTTACTTTCTTATATAGAATGCAACTTTTAAAAATAAATAAATAAGAAATAATTTATCAACACTTTCTAAACACTTCTCATTTTCACTGAATCATGAGTCTGTATCTTGGTAATCAGTTTGGCTGCAGAGAATATACTAAATGCATACAGATATTTGTTTTTCTTTTTCCATATCTTGATATTCTAGTATAATTGGACCTGATGAAGAGTTCCAGAAAACTCCAAAACTTGTTACACTTGTTACATTTTACTGATTCAAAGAAAGATGTCGCACAATTCTGATTTTCATTTTATTCATTATTTAATCATACAACTGTCCTGACTGCCTACCTGTGCAAGAATAAGAATGCACTTTGCCACTCATCTAAGAAGACAGCAGAAAGAGAGTTTTCAACAGTTGCAAAGGCTTTTAAAAACCTGGAACAGAACCTTTGTCTGTGAACATTTCTTTGTCTATGGCAGTTTTGTCCTTTTTGTGCACTTGTTGCTTCAGAGCTTGCACTTTTATGCTGATCATTTATCATTAATTCAATACTGTTCAATTCATACTGCACAGATGAGTCATTTCAATTTCTAAAGTATATAAAATGTTTGGCTAATTGGCTTGTAAATAATTAATTGACTGTTACCCTGTTTCAATGTGGTTTTGAAATGAAAAGGAGAACAGCATCAACATTTAAAGAGTGCGGAAAGGAGAAGAACAAAAGTAATACTGGAAAGTTACATTTATATAAAAAAGATGCCTGATATGTTTAGGCAAAAGGTTTTTGAAGGAGCACAAAAATATAGTTTTCTTTAGATATTGCCTCAAGAAAACTATATTTTTGCTCTTCTAATTAATTATTAATCAAAGAACACTAGGCGTTTTACTATTTTATAAATTTTATGATGTCATTTTTATGTTTTACCTTTGGTAAAGTGTAATACATTTAAAATTTTGATTTTAATAACTTGCTGAAGTAATTTCTTACTTATACATAAGAAGAAGAAGAAGAAGAAGAAGAAGAAGAAGAAGAAGAAGAAGTGGTGACAAGAAGCAACCGGAAAAGCTTACGTGACATGAGGATTTAAAGACAGAACTGCAAAGACTCTGGCACAAGCCAGTAAAGGTGGTCCCAGTAGTAATCGGCACACTGGATGCAGTGCCTAAAGACCTTGGTGTGCACTTAAAAACAATCGACGCTGACAAAATTACCATCTGTTAGCTGCAAAAGGTCATCTGCAGGCATTATTCGGAGATAAATCACACAGTCCTAAACACTTGGGAAGTGTCTGACGTGTGATCAAATACAAAAGCCAGCATAGTGTTCTTGTTTGCTGTGTACTAATCTTGTTATGTATCAAATAATAAAACTTTATTTATACCTCACCACTATCTCCCGTAAGGACTCAGAGTTGCTTACAAAATAGCACACAATGGTGCCATACATACATAAAATACAATACATCAACATATAGAATCAATAACACATTTACATAAAAACATACATATAAAATTAACAAAAACAATCTCTATTAAATAGTATTGGTAAAATGTGGCTATAGTCATTGGTTAGAAAGATCCATAGCAATTGATTTAGCAGCCCAGCTGTATACCCATCAAAATGTAGATATAAGGTACTAAAGTAATTGGCAATCGGTTTGGCTACCAGCTTAAATTTTATTAAAGGCCTGCTGAAAAACCCAAGTTTTTAACTCTTTCCAAAAGTGCTGTAGTGTGGGGTCTTGCCTAAGTTCCTTGGGGAAGGCGTTCTGAAGCTGGGGGCCACCACCCCCAGCTTTGGGCCCTCTCCCTCATCCCCGCCAACTGCACTTGATATGGAGGTGGGACCGAGAGGACGGCTTCCCTGGAAGATCTTAGAGCCAACACCGGTTCATAGGGGGAGATGCGATCACAAAGATAGGCTAGACCCGAACTGTCAGGGGTCCTCAAACTTAGGCTCGGGGCCCGGATGCGGCCCTCCAAGGTTATTTACCCGGCCCTCACTCAGGGTCAACCTAAGTCTGAAACAACTTGAAAGCACACAACAACAATCCTATCTCATCAGCCAAAAGCAGGCCCACACTTCCCATTGAAATACTAATAAATTGGTATTTGTTCTTCATTTTAATTATTGTATTGTTTTTAAGTGGTTTTTGCACTACAAATAAGGTATGTGCAGTGTGCATAGGAATTCATTCATGTTTTTTTCCAATTATAATCCCGCCCTCCAACAGTTTGGGGGACTGTGGCCTAGCCCTCTGTTTAAAAAGGTTCAAAAGTTTGAGGACCCCTGGTGTAGAGCATTGTAGCTAATAACCTGCACATTGAATTGGGACCAGAAACTTATTGGCAGCCAATGGAGCAGCTTCAATAGGGGCAAGGTGTCTCCCTATAGATAGCCCCAGTTAGTATCCTGGCTGCCGATCTTTGCACCAACTGCAATTTCCAAGCCATCTTCAAAGGCAGCCCCACGTAGAGTGCATTGCAGTAATCCATTCTAGATATAACTAAGGCATGGATCACAATGGCCATAATGCAGCATTTAGCAGAAATGTATAAAATTTAGGAGGAAAGGATCTTGTTTAAGAATTGATCCCCCCCCCCCCCCCCCCCCCGGTGATTGTAGAGCTTAAAATACATGTACCAGATTCAAGATCCAAGGGCTGAATCTGGTCCTCTAGATGCTGGACTACAACTCTTGTATTCCTCATCATTAGTCATCATGACTATAGCTGATGGAAAGCAGCAATTTGTTCTGTTTAGTCAGGATAATAGGATTTGAATTTAGATACAAGACTTCTGGATAGTATATCTTACTTTAAATTGTCTTGTAACCATTCTTCTGAGCCACAAGTACTGTTGAGTTGCAATTCTTACAATCCCTAGACCATGACAGATAATCAAAAATGATGGGAATTGTCATTCAATAACATCTGGGGACCCACACTGGATGAAAAATAAAGAGCACCAACCACTATGTAAAGAATTATTTTTGGCCCTCTGTATCAACAGATTTTCCATCCATGGATTCAACAGCCCTTTGAAAGCAAACATAAGGCTGATGTGGTGCTTGGTAGAATATGAGTTTGACACCCCTGGCTTAAAAGTTGTCAGGGTTCAAATGAATATCATTCTGCAAGTAAGCCATTCCACTTGAGAAGCAACTCTTGATAAGCACTGTGTGAAAAGTCCAACATTTTCTTTGATGCATGCTTTAAGGACAGTGATATTTATTTTCTGATTTCATAAAATCTGCAGTGAAACAAGTAATCATCACTGGATTGCAAATATCCTGCTGCGACCATGATAGAAGGTTCCACCATGATCATAAATGTACACACTCTTCAAACATAAGCATCCTGATACCCAGTTTCTGCAATCTTAAAGGATTTCCAAAATTGGGTTGATGTCAAGCTTTCAAGTTGTTATTGCTTGACTGAAACAAACCTCTACCTCTTCATGAAAAGCAAGAGGAAGTTACCACTAGAAAAACAAGAAAACCACTCTTTAGACAACACCCACCTGTTATAGATTGAATGTGCCTTGGTGTCCTCTTGCAACAATATTGCTGAAGACTCTTCAGTGAATCCTTGTTAAGAGATGGAAGCGGCTCAATTGTCAACTACATCAGCAATGACAGAAAACTGGAGTAGCAACTTTGAAGAATACCCAACTGAATATGATGGATTGGATTCTATGATTATCTGCCACCTGGAACTACCATTTGCTTACATCTTTATCCCCATTCTCTATTTCCTGAGTTTTTTCATCGGTTTCTTTGGGAACCTATTTGTGATCCTACTGATGGCACGAAAACAAGGTAGCAAAAGGCTTGTGGATACCTTCGTTCTCAATCTGGCCATAGCTGACCTGGTCTTTGTATTTACTTTGCCTTTCTGGGCTTTGTCAGCAGCTCTTGATGGCTGGCTCTTTAGTGAAGGACTATGCAAGCTGAGCAGCTATACCATCTCTGTCAACCGCTGCTCAAGTATCTTGTTCCTGACAGGCATGAGCGTGGAACGCTTCCTTGTGATGACCAAGCGTTGGGATGCCAGGTCCATTGGAACCAGGAAGAATGCCATCATGAGCTGTGGCTGCATCTGGGCAATCTCACTACTTCTAGGAATACCATCACTGGTCTACAGAAATCTGGCCTTCAAGGGAGATAGCAAATATTCATGCCAGGGTGACCCCCCTGCCACCTTCAGTGTGGTCATGCTCAGCTTAACCTTCCTGTTGCCGTTGGGAGTCATCTTGTTCTGCTATTGCTCTATCTTCTCCAAACTTCAGAGCCATGCCAGACTAGGCAAAAGAAGAAACAATGCCCTTAAAATCATCTTTACCATCATTGGGGCATTTGTCTGTTCTTGGCTGCCTTTCAACACCTTCAAGATAATCTTCACTATGACTCAGAACATTGATCTCTCTTGCCAGGCCCTGAGAACTCTCTTCGGGGGACTCACCATCACCGCTTGCCTGGCTTTCGTAAACAGCTGTATCAACCCTGTCATCTATGTCTTTATGGATCAGCACTTTCGACAGCAGGTCCTGATGTATTTCCCTGGATTTTGGAAAGCAAAGGGAAATATGCAAGCCTCCAGCATGTCCTTTTCATCTACAGAATCAAGTGTTTTGTTTGGCAGCAGGAAAAAGCTCCCACCCGCCACGTCTGTTCAGATATGAAACACAGTAAAAGATGTGTAGGGTTGCAAAAGCCTCCAAGATTTGGCACGTTTTTGGCTTGGACTGCTGAGAATAACCACAGGGTTTCTGAGTTATGTTGATTATGAAAAAGAGGGTAAGGAGATGGTCTGTAAATGTGGGTGGAAATTGATATATTTTGACTATCAGTTGTAAATTACAATAGGAAAAGAATTTATTTTTATCATTATTTCTAATGTGTATGAATGAAATCAACTCCCACTTATATAATTTGACCCCATTTCTATTGCATTATAAGAATAGAAATTTAACATATACCCATCATTATAAAGCTATTTCTGCTTGCTAAAATTGAGATATGCTGGGACTGAATAGGAGAGACTTGTACAAGTGTATCTGCAGCTGAAATGTGAATTATTTTGCTTTTACTTTCAATTACATATGTTCTCACCACCACATTTTTGAATGTTTGTATCGTTTTTACAAAATTGATGAATAGATCTTGATTGCTCATTGAAAATATTTAGCATGAAAGAAAAATAAATGACCTTATAATTCTAGACCAGATTTTTAAAACGCATTAAGACAAGCATGCTTAATTAAAGATGAATATAGAACTAAAATTGTTCTTCTGTTGTGACATTCTTCAAAAATTCTTGACAATTTCCTTTGTATCTAGGATTCTCGCAATATGCTTTCTTAATTTTAATTAAAAATGTAAATCTAACACTGTGTGTGTGTAAATCTTTTTAAACGTGGTAATAGCAAATAACTCAATATGTGGGACCTACTCTTCCAGCTATTTCACATTTTCAAATCTAAATTGGCAATTGACTCATTAATGACCCTATATCAGGCATGGGCAAACTTGAGCCCTCCAGGTGTTTTGGACTTCAACTCCCACAATTCCTTGCCTCAGCCCCCTTCGTTTTCACCCTCAGCCACTTAAGGGCCTGAGGCCAGGAATTGTGGGAGTTGAAGTCCAAAACACTTGGAGGGCCGAAGTTTGTCCATGTCAGCCTTATATCCATCAATTAACTCACAACATGGCAGTCTGGTTGTCTCTGTTCTTCTAGAAAGGCATAGGGAAATTTTAGACTTGAGCAAGATATACTTCATTTATTTTAGAATCTTGACACCCATCAATGAGAGACAGATGCAAAATTAGCTCTTGGAATACCCCTAAAAGTGCCTCTGAGCCCATATGCCCAAGTAATTTGCCAAAGTCTGTAAGATGCAGCCATAACAGTTAAAAGGGAATCAAATTACACACACACACTCCAAGTTAGAGTCTACCACATTGTTATTTAAAATAATGGAGCAGTGGATGATGCAGTGGGTTAAACCCTTATGCTGGCAGGACTGCTGAATGAAAGGTTAGTGGTTCGAATCCAGGGAGCGGGGTGAGCTCCCATCTGTCAGCTCCAGCTTCTCATGCAGGGACATGAGAGAAGCCTCCAACAGGATGGTAAAACATCTGGGCATCCCCCTGGGCAATGTCCTTGCAGGCGGCCAATTTTCTCACATCAAAAGCGACTTGCAGTTTCTCAAGTCACTCCTGACATCGGGAAAAAAATTAAAAAGAATGATCAATGCTATTTTGTGACAGACAAAATGAAATCATTGCTTTTTAAAAACTGATTACATTGTCTGTTTAAAAAACCCCAAGCTATGTGTGAAAAAGAAATGCTATGTCTACTACCCGTGCTGACTAATTATGAAATGCAATCTGTTAAAAGCGGGACTTTGATTTCCAGTCTCACCTAGGTTTTGGTGAACCTTAATAAATCTTGCCAAGATATGATTGCCGTAAGTCAGAGTCAATTCAAAGGCATATAACAACATTTTAAAAATCCAGTGCTTAGTACCTTAGCAGTTTGCTAAGAAGTTCAGCAACAGTATCATAAACAAAAGATCAAAAACATCACAACGCCTATCTGGTAAACATTTTAATTTCCCTGGAGACAAAGCTACAGACCTCAGAGTCGCCTGTTTCAAAGAAGACAAATAGAATAAGATGGGCATAATAGAAAGTCATATTAACACCTGATCATTATGGAACTTTAAGTGAACAACTGCAAGTTTGATGCACATTACAGACACATATTTTGTAGCTATTTTCCATTCTTGCTTTCCATGTTTGATACCATTTGTATCCTGTAGATATCTCTTTGCACTTTCTACCTGTCTGTATAGCTCTGTATACAAATGGGACTGACGGTGAACTAAAGAAAGCGTTTTTTAAGACTCTTACCAACAAAAGGCAGATATTCCTTTGAAAAAAGAACTAGTCCTTCAGCCATCTCTGCCAATTCTGAAGTTCAAAACACCCTTTCTTCAACATGTTAATATGAAATATGCCTACCTCTTACACACATTTTTCACCTTATTTGCCTTTCTTCCTCATATATATTCTGGTCATTCTGCGCTTCATATACATTTATAAGACTAGAAGTCACTTCATTGGAGGCTTCTACTTCACAAAAGTCCATGCAATTTTTTTTAAAAATTGCATTTTTTTTTTTGTTGATCATTTACTATAATAGAACAGAAAATTCTACTGCAACCTGATTTATCACCATCTGATCTCTTCCTTGAGAAATTGCCTTGATTGCTCAGAGTAGTAATAATGCCATTTAGAGATGCCAGGGCAGATATCAGTTAGATTTGGAAGTCAAGACATTTCTTAAATGTGAGGATAAAGAGAAAAACAGTTTTCCAAATGAATCGCATAGCACACCTGCAAAACAATTTGGCTCTTATTCTGTATGAAGGTTAGGAAGCTATCACCAAAATGGTGAATAGTGCAGGAGAAAGAGCATTGCAAGATTGCAACCACAAAATCAAGTTGCTGTCAAAGGCTTTCATGGTTGGATACTTGCCATAGATGTGGGCAAAACAACAGGAGAAAATGCTTCTGGAACATGGCCTTACAGCCTGGAAAACTCACATCAACAAAACCAAGTTGCTGTAACAAGCATCAATAGCTTCTGATCAGAAAGAAAGGGAGACAGATCACTAAGAAAAAATGTTAGAAGGATGCAAGCAGCCATGCAGTCAAAGGAAATGCAAGGCATCCAAAAAATGTATGGAACAACAATAAATTATAATTCTGGACATTTTAGGGGTCATTTACCTAACCCCACATATATTCATCTTAACCCTGCAGGGACTCAAGGTGGCTTCCAATACAGCAGACAAACATTCAATGCCTATACAAAACGAAAATGATAAAAAATTTATGTCTTTACTTAGCCTTCAATTTTATTTTATTTTTTGTCGTGTCAGAAGTGACTTGAGAAACTGCAAGTCGCTTCTGGTGTGAGAGAATTGGCTGTCTGCAAGGACGTTGCCCAGGGGACGCCAGGATGATTTTGATGTTTTTATCATCCTTGTGGGAGGCTTCTCTCATGTCCCCATATGAGGAGCTGGAGTTGATAGAGGGAGCTCATCCTCCTCTCCCCGGATTCGAACTTGCGACCTGTCGGTCTTTAGTCCTGCCGGCACTGGGGTTTAACCCACTGCGCCACTGGGGGCCTTCAAATAATATCTAGCTATCATCTATCTATCTATCTATCTATCTATCTATCTATCTATCTATCTATCTATCTATCTATATCTACACACACACTTTAACAGTTAATAATAGCTACAGTGATTATTGGACTATATATATTTGGGCTACCCTATAGGTTCCCTGCATGTGGCTGTATTCACATTCCCATCATACAGCCACTTTTTAAATGCTGGGGATTGTAGATTCATGAGGCACTGTTATTTGGCAGGTGAGGCCAAAACTGTAAAACTACAACTTCCATGATTCCATAGCCATAGTAGTGAAAATGGTGTCAAACTGCATTGATTCTACAGTGTACTTGTACCCTGGGCCATTTCCTTGACAACAGGTTTGAAGAAATAGAAAGCTCTGAGACCAAGGGGTAGCTTGAGAGTATGGAGCCACCAGCCAATTACTTGGGAGAAATTACTAGAGACGTTACTTGAAAGGAAGCCCAATAACAACCCCTAAGAGCTGCACTTGAGGCTCATACGCACCTGTTTCTCATTGCCAAAGTGACAGAGCCTCACTGCATTCACACTTAAATAAGTTAGAATCATAGAGTTGGAAGAGACCAGTCCAGCCCCCTGTCAAGAAGCAGAAAAATCACATTCAAAGCACCCTCAACAGATGGCCATCCAGCCTCTATTTAAAAGCCTCCAAAGAAGGAGTCTCCAGCACACAACATAAGTTACAAGCCAAATAACTTTCCTGCCATTCTTCTTGAAAACCAGCAGTTACAGCAAGAGTGAAGAAACACTGTATCCTCCGGTTTCTATATTTTTCAATTATCACAATAGGCAATGAAGCTTTGCAAACCTCTACCACTACAACAACTTACTTTTTGAAAATAGAACTTTTTGCAAAAAATAAATAAATGCTGCAGCAATGATGAGAAGTATGAGTGAATTCATCTCTAAAATGCAAACTTCAAACACACCGAGACAGCAGAGTACAGAATGAAAAACCACAGAACTCACGACTCAGTTTTTTTAAAGATGACCATCATGCAACTATCTTTTTCAAATGTGTTGATTTTTAAAATATTATCTTTTAATGCATTTTAATAAGTTTATAGATTACCTAATTGCTTAAATATAATCTTTCAAGCAAACCAGAGTCATCCAGAGCTTGCAAAACCACCTCGCTGGGTTCCTTGCCTAGAAAAATCCTGTGTTTTTTCTTGCCTTGCCTAGAAAAATCCATGGGGTCACAACAAATCAACAGGCAAATCAGAGGCACACATTCTCACACATAAACACAACATACTCCAGTTAACAAAGTAGATGTGTTTCTGAGCATTACTTCTTTAACAAGAAATGTGATACAAGAGGCAAAAATAATGTGAAAAGAATACGGGTAGTTTCCCGAATCATCAAAAAGAAGAGAATTTTAATATGCTTCAGCAAACTTTTTATCAATTTCAAATATACAAAATTAAGCTACCTGGTCAGTCTTTTACATTAGTGACTATAAAAAAATTGCTATAAAGGAGCTTCATAATTAGAGACTTTG